TTCAAAATCATAACCAATTCGGGTAGTTCTAGTGGACCGGTTCGGGCTCCAATCGAGTCGCGTGTTACTGGTGCAATTTGGGTTCACTGTGGGCCACTGGGTGTTTTTGGGGCTGCTTGTACTTGGTTTGTTGTTGGGCCAGCAACTTGGCCTATAAAAAACATGTATCATTTTGATATATATATATATATATATATATATATATATATATATATATATATATATATATATATATATAGTGTCCACAATATCAAAAAAAAAACATATGTTTCAAAAATATATGTATCTCGAAGAAACATATAATCAATGTATTCTTATACGTAAAGCGTATATGTTTTTTCTTATACTGATTTGAATTCATTATATAAAAATAAGGGTAAACTATACGAATGGTCCCTTAAATTTTTGGTACGATCGATTTTGGTCACCTATTAAAAAAATATTTTTAGTCTCTTATGTTATCGGTCACGTTATCGATTTATTCGGTTTCAATTTTTTAGCTGTTAACTTTCGTTAACTCTTTAACAAAAATATTATGTAGCAATTAAAAATTTAAAAAATCCAACATCGATAGCTTCCTCGACGCTACTACCATAGGTTTCGCCATCTCCATAGTTGTTGTGTCGTCTTTCTTGCACAAGACGAAAACCCAAGAATCTTATCAGTAAGAATCAAAAAATTCTTCTTTGCATCATCCAACGTGGTTAAGGCGACACAAAAGCTCTGATCATTGTAGGATTAGCCATCGTGGGCAATGTTGGCACAGTGTTTTCCGTCATAACATTGTTGAAGTTGGGATCTTTTTGCTCTTTCTCGTCTTTCCTCCATTGTGTTTGGCAAGAAGGGAGAAGATCAACAGTTGGTGATAAGTGAAACACTTTTCTAGATAATCAATTTTTGGAGAAGAAGAAAAATCACGTCTCGTATAGTTTACCATAAAATTAACTAATGTACTGTCACGTAATATTTGTGTTAAAGGGATTAGCAGGAGTTAACATAAAGGATCATCCCATATAATTTATCCTAAAATTAACTAATGTAAAATTTGTTTTTTTATTTAACGTACCTTGGTTTTTTTCTTATTTAAAAGGGACTAAAATATAACTCGTGCTATAATATAGGGATTTATACAGTACTTTTGCGAGACGAGGAAGATCTCTAGTTGTTATTTTTCCATCCATGCAAACTCAAACGTAGGTCATGTTTACGCAGCAGAGAAAGTACCAGTTTTGCATAGATCAAGTGCATCCCAAAGATGCATGCAGTTCACCCAAACAATGGTGCTTTCTAACAATTATTCGAAGAGGTAGCCGACGGTGACGGAAACGCTGGTGATGGTAACGAAGCGAAGGTAATCGTTGGTGTTGAATTTGCCAACGATTTTGGTGAAAGGAGGGTTTCGATCTTCAACTGGATGCTATGGCTTGGCCGAAGCTACTATGTCTGTGTTCATCTTTGATGTTTTTTTTGGTTGCTTTTTCCAACTGCATGTGCTGTTTGTGTTGCTTTCGACGACTTCACCTGAGGACTTGGACTTTGGTTATGATATGAGAAGGGTGAGATTTACTGTTATTGGGTTCATTGGCCACAATTTCATACATGGGTTATGCAGTTCTGGTAAATGGACAGAAGCAACTAGCTAGCTTGCACAGTAAGATGGTTGCTGAGGATATTGTACCTGATGTTGAAACTCTTTAACATTTTCTTGGACGCTATTAGTAAACAAGGAACAATAGGAGAAGCTCATGAAGTGCTGAAATGAATAAGCACTACAAGAAATTTGACAAAAAAATATGAACAAAAGTATGGTGTATAAAGTGTGATATGAACAAAGTAAACAAATGTTATAACAAAAAAATATTGAGGTCTGGATTACAAGATAAGATAACATAATGACTCTCACAAGTGTGAAAACTCCCAAGTACGACAAATGGTTGGGTCTACTGTGGAATCTTATATCTTGTCTTCATAGATGTCTAACAACTATCCTATATACAAATTCTCGATAGAGTATTCGAAGGTGTTCTACACTATCTCTAGCAAGAATTTGACAGTGAAAATGCTACATCAATACCTCTTAGCGTGAACCATAACAGTTTAATATCTATAAAGCTCGACTCTTCTTAGTCGTTGAAACTTTATCCTTATCTCTAAGGTGAGTTAGGATTTACCTCTCAACACCCCCCTTTGTTCAAGTATATCTAAGCTTAACTCTCTCGAATATTAAGCTATCAAACAAGACTAAGGCTAACTCTCGAAAGCTCTTACAAATCATGCATTCAAAACAATGAACAAAGCAAGTATAAATCTGGAAATGCTTCAACATCCATTAAACAAAATATAATCATCCACAATAAACCCAAACCAAGCTAAGTTATTTCATGGTCGGGTTAATAACATCCATAAAATCATTCATATAAAACAACCCAAATGAAATGCTAAAAACGCAGAAACAAACTAAAAGGAAGAAAACTCCTGAGCATCAGTGAATCACCCTAGCCAAGCTGCCTCTCTCAAGGTCTAGCTTGTTGTTTTTCTTGGAGCCTTCAAAAATGGAGAACACCCACGAAGAAGGAGAAGAGAAAAAGAAGGAAGAGTAGTTGCCTTTTCTCTCTCCCCTATCTCATAAATTCCAGCCTCCTTTAAAAGTGTGGTGTCCTTAGCTTTATATAGTGGGAACTCCTAGGGTTTTGTACCCTTTAATTCCTTGTACCCTAGGGAAAAGATTCCTTCACGTGTAGGGCACAACTGTCATAAGATTTATGAGTAGGGCAAACTGTCATGAGATTCACGTATAAGCATGAAAAATATCTTCAAATTTTGTCCTTTAGTGCATCCAGGAAAAATGCAAAGAAATGCTACAACAAAAGTTCGTGTGCACCTAGTTTCTAAATCTACGCACACACAACACTATAACACTACCTTCCAAACATTAGCAGCACTATTAATCAATGAAATAAAGACCATTCAGCCCAATCCACCACATGCATGAAATATGCAACTAGATGCAACTAATATGCAACTAAATGAGCTAGAGAACAAACAATAACCTAACTAAAAAGACCTAAAATGTATTCTTTTACGAGGTTATCAAGGAACTGAGAGGGTAAGTGGGGGAAAAAAGACTCACTTTATTATTGTAGAATTTATGTATTTTTAAAGATTTTTTTTAAAGAAATTGTTAAAATTTTAAAATGATTAAAAAATTATTAAAAATAATATTTTTAAAAATATCATTTGATAATATTATGATGTGACATATGTCATGAATTGATTCAAAAAATTATTAAATTTATTAATCAACATTGACCAAAAGATAAATTGATAAAATTTAAAAGTATAAAGACATAATTAGATACAAAGAAAATTCAAAGGCTCAATTAATTTTATTTTCTAAAAAGTTGATGGTTTTTGGCACCTTTAAGCCATAATGTTCTAAAAATATAGAGATAATATTATGTTAAATTAAAAAAAAAGACTCAATCTAAAATATTAGCATAGTATAAGGACTAAAATTATAATTAAACATTATATTTTCGACTTAGTGTAAAAGTAGATGTCCAAACTATACCTAAAATTAACTTTAGATACATAAATAATTTTTAGTTAAAAATAGATGTCTAATGTTTTCTGCATTACACTTTTAGGCGTCTAACGTTTTTTCTATTACACTTTTAGGCGTCTAACGTTTTCTCTATTACACTTTAAGTGTCTATGTAGTAACGACCGTCAAAAGAGTGTTAAGTGACACGTGTTAAGTTTGTATTTTGGCTTAATATAAAAATCAATTAATTTTAAGTGCCTAAAAAAATTTTCGTTAAAAATAGATGCTTAATATTTTTTCTATTACACTTTTAGTTTCTACACAGTAACGACCGTTAAAAAATCTGTTAAGTAACACATGCCATGTTTATATATATATTTTTTAAATAGCTGATACTATTATTAATTTAAATCATTGTAATCTAAAATCTCTCATTTCAACCTCATTAGCAGATATCAGCGGCCATTACGATCGTCGCTTTCACCATTGTCAAACAATCACTCACCCTTCATTGAATTTCCACTATCGATCATCCCTCTTGTCGTTGTTTTAATCCCCATAAATCTAAACTTAAATCCCCAAACCTAATATCCTAATCCCTAAGCCCAGTATCAAAATTATCATTTTCACCCTAAATTAACTTTAAGGATTTATAGGGATAATGGAGGAAGTTCTAAATGTAATTGAGGAGGAAGAATTTTTTTTTATGCAAGCGAGAGTGGGGAAGAATTTTTCTTTTTTAAAAAACTAATTTTTAAAATAATATTTTAATATTTTTTAGTAAATAAAAATTTATATATATATATATATAAACGCGTTACGTATAAAATAACAGTTAAATTTAATAATTGTTACTGCAAAAACTTCTAAAAATATTACATCGAAAGCATTAGACATCTAAAGTTAACTTAGAGTATATTTTAAATATTTATTTTTATATTAAGCTAAAATATAAATATGATATGTGCTTACGAAAGCTGCTCTCAATCTGGTGTTGGGGGCAACTTAATTCCATTATTTATATGGGAATAAGGTCAACTAATTTTATAAATATGATATGTGTCATATAATAAATTTTTTTAATAGTTGTTGTTGTGTAATCACTTAAAAATGTAAAAAAAAATGTTATACACCTAAAAATACAATAAAAATAGTAAACTTTTATTTTTAATAAAAATATATTTAAATATTTATAATTAAATTATAAAATAATTTAAACACTAATTTTTGTATTAAACATATTAAAAGCATAAATCTTCAGGATAGTATGTATGAATTATATATATATGCGTTTGTGGTCGGGTGCCAAATTCATAGTTAAAAAGAAGTGCGAAATACACACGCCTTTTGCTGGCCTCCCTCCGGTGACGGTTACGGCCTTTGACCTACCAAACTATTTCAAGCTTCTTCAACCTCAACCTTGTTTTCCCAATCAATTCGTTGCTTTATATTATCGATTTCTAATTGTATAAATAGTAGCTTCTAAATTAACGATGTCGGAGAAGTTCTCGCCGACGCTCAGAATCGGAGATCTCAGCGATTTCATTGCACCGTCTCAAGCCTGCGTCGTTTCTCTCAAAGGTCTCAAACCAACCCCTAAGAAACCTGAACCTCAGGTACTTATTATACCTTTCCTCAATTATCATTCTTATTTCGTGATTTTAGCTAACTTTGATTCGGAATTAGATGCTATAGTTTGTTTTTGGTTTGTAATTGGCTCCTTCTATTTTAGATTGTGATGCTTTGGTCTGGTAATGTTTTGTAATCTCATAAGCTTTATTCTACTAATTATCGGATTATTTAGCAGTATAAGAATATGAATTTTCGTTATTTTTGGTTATTGTTTTTCTTATTTTGAAATACTTTACTGAACGAAGGTTTTAGCTTCTAAGAGTCGGCAGACTGAACCAGTAAAAATTTCGCTCAAGGACTGCTTGGCATGTAGGTAATAATTCCCTCTATCTTCGATTTATCCTTCTTGTCTTTCAACTTGCTTAGCTCGGAAGGAATTTGTTTGTTTATTAACAGTACGTTTCGAGGTAATTATCAAAATTGCTGCAGGTTGAGTTAGTAGTTTATGACTGCCAATTGTTTTCTTGAAAGTGCTTTATTTGCATTGAAGTAAATTGTTTTTTAGCTATGTTGATGATCTGTTTCTATTTTCTTTGCAATGTTGCAGCGGGTGCATAACTTCAGCGGAGACTGTGATGCTTGAGAAGCAAAGCCTAGACGAATTCCTTTCCAATATTAATAAAGGGAAAGTTGTATTTGTATCAGTTTCTCCACAGTCAAGAGCCTCCCTTGCTGCTCACTTTGGCATCTCTCCACTAGAGGTAAAATGGAACATTCAAAACCCTGAATCTAAGATGCTTTGATACTGGCGTACTACCTCTGGCCTGTTCTTCTGTTACGTTCCCACAATAAGATATAAAAAGCAGAGTGGGTTAAATCAGTCAATTTTCTCTTACCACACACGAATGCACATTGCAAAACCTCCCTAGTCCCTACCTCTAGTTCCTTTGACCAAATCTGCGATTCCTAGTATATTATTTTGTTTTCATTATGTTTGAAGTACATGAAATGTTGCCTATATGTTATTTAAGTTGAATGTTTATAATTATGGAAGTTCTTTTCTCATATTCAGGTTTCCAAGAAACTCACAACATTTTTGAAGTCATTGGGAGTAAAGGCTGTTTTTGATACTTGTTGTATTAGAGACTTAACGTTGATTGAAACTTGTCATGAGTTCATTGCTCGGTATAAACAAAGCCAAGCAACTGATGACGAGAAAAGCAAATCCTCACTCCCAATGCTGTCCTCATCATGTCCAGGTATACATCTTTCTGTAAAAGTTGAGCATTCATTTAATAGTATTTTCTCTCCCTCAACCCCCAAAATGTTTATGCACTCCGAACTTGTATATTTTACATAGAGATGGGATGTCATGGTGATTTATAGAATTCCTGTGATCAAAATTCAAAAGTGTTTCTTCTGTGCGGCATTCTCTAATTGCAGGTTGGATATGCTATGCTGAAAAACAACTAGGATCCTATATTTTGCCGTACATATCCACAGTAAAAAGTCCTCAGCAATCAATGGGAGCTACTATTAAGAATCATATATGTCAAACAATGGGTTTCAGGTAGCCTTGTCTGTTCAACTTTTATACATCAGACTTCTGTTTTCTTTTGGTCATGATCATGCTATGAACAACATTTCAGCAAGCAGAGAACTTAAAACTTGTAATGTACACTGGTAAATGACATTTAGCTTTTAAATTTTAGATGAATTGCATGAATGGCAATTTTCTTATAATTTTATCCAGAAAATTAAAGCCTTGCTAAAATTTTTTGGTTACCAATGAATTAATGCATACTGTTCGAAACTACGAAGCCTCCCACCCTTCTAATGATATCAGCAAAACTAGCATTTGTATCATGAAGCCATTTCCATGGCCTGAGTATCTCCACATAAATGAGCATAATCAAAGGATTGTTCTAATTTCTTTCTTCTCTACAATTTCAGTTGTAGAACATCTCTCCACTCACTTTTCTCTTTTTATATACTATTTAGTGCTATAAAATTTTCTATGGACTGACATTTCAGGAAGGACGATCTTCAGTTTGTATCTTATGAAAATTTCTAGTTTTACTTGATACAATCTGAATATTAGAGGAAATAGCGCATGCCAAAAGCTTTATACTATTCTTTTTTTTGATAGGAATAGTAGGTCTCATTAAAAACCTCCTTCTTAGTAGTCCTTTACCATGAGGTTAGAACCGACTAGCGGAAGGAGGAAAAGAGTACCTGAATATATTGATTATAAAAAGATTACATAAGACTTAAACCACTCCATGTAGATACATAAAACTTAACCACACTCTAATAACCCCCTTGGAATAAAACATCCGAACTCAGTACAACAAAGTGAACCACTATCCAATCCCCTCCTTTGCAAGCAAATCTGCCTCGCAATTGCAGCTTCTCGGAATCCACCTCACAATGACCTCATTCTTAAATCTTGAATGACTGGATTATTCATTTTACTTAATAGGCCAGAGGAGATTTACCATGTAACCATGATGCCTTGTTATGATAAGAAGCTTGAGGCTTCCAGGGATGATTTTGTTTTTCAAGTGGAATCTAATGATGGGAGCCCTACAGATGAAGGTGTTTGTATCCCAGAGGTCGACTCTGTCTTGACCTCTGGAGAAGTATTAGATTTGATACAGGTGAGGTCAAGGTTGCATGTTATCTTAATTTTGATATTCCAATGTAACAATTTTATATTCTTTATTTAATGGCTTCATGTAATTATTTTTTAATTTATATGGTCAATTTTTGCAGTTGAAAGAAGTTGATTTTAATGCCTTGGAAGGGTCACCTCTTGATAGACCGTATGTCCCAATTATCCTCATTAAACTGACCCTTTATTCACCTTGTCACGTACAAATGAAAAATATTATTGTGCTTCTGCAGGTTGACAAATCTTGATGAGCAAGAACATCTTTATGGTGTCTCAGGAAGCTCTGGAGGTTATGCAGAAACTGTCTTCCGCTATACCGCAAAAGTTCTCTTTGGAAGAGAAATTAATGGCCCTTTGGATTTCAGAATTATAAGAAATTCTGATTTCCGAGAATTGAGTCTAGAGGTAAGTTTGCTTTTTTAATTTGGTAGTGTTGGTTAGCACTGTAAGTCCAAATATAAAATAAAACGTGCCTTTTCAGCTTTGAAGAGTGCCCTTCCTGCAATATTAGTTCACAAAAGTTGTATTGAAATTAAATCATGGCCTTATTATTTAATGCATATGGCTCAAAAAGTCATGGTAACAACTTCAATACTACATTTTATTATTTAATGTAGGTGGAGGGGAAAACTGTGCTGAAATTCGCCCTATGTTATGGCTTCCAAAACCTGCAAAACATCGTCAGGAAAGTAAAAATGCGGAAATGTGATTTTCAATTTGTGGAGGTCATGGCATGCCCTTCAGGTTTCTGTTTCCTCGTATTCTTTTATGCTTTTTTTAATAATGACTGCGTTGTAATTTAATATAACAAGGTATTGTTAATATATGCAGGTTGCTTGAATGGTGGAGGGCAAATCAAGCCAAAGCCTGGACAATCTCCAAAGGAGTTAATCAAATCGATAGAAGCCGTGTACATGGAAAACGTGAGTTCCTATCTTCGATATTGAACTTGTTCACTCATTTTTGAAAACTCAAGATGATTCATCAAACTAAAAGATTTCGTTACCGTCAACAGTTAAGCACCGACCATGCTTGCAATGCTGACATGCTTTTACAATTAAGCTCTCTTTCGAATATGTTCATAGCACAAAAGTTCCAAGTAGGGAGAAACTATGCATTTATTCCTTTTTGGTTTACTTTTTCTTTTAATCGAGTCATCTTTATACCTTTAGGTTCTGGAAGCTGATCCTTTTAAGAACCCACTGGTGAAACGGTTGTATGACGAGTGGCTTGAGCACCCGGGTTCTGAAAAGGCTAAAAGGCACATGCACACAGGATACCACCCTGTTGTAAAAAGTATCACTGCTCAGTTGAACAATTGGTAAACGCTTTCTAACATCTGGCCTTGTACAACACGGGAAACTTTCCCTCTGTTGTCTCTCCATGAGTGCATGTTAGACATCGTCAGCCAACCAGCCATGGCACATTGTTGCTGGTTATTCGGTCCTCTCACTGTTGCATTTTGCAAGGAGACCAAATTTTGGTGAGGATATATTTTGTTTTGAAGAAAATTATTTATTATCACACCTTTCTTTGCTTCTAAGTAAGTATCGAATATAATATATGTTCGATACCAGTATACTCATTTGTTTTAATCTTTTCATGTATTTGAATCATACTCATGTCAGAAGGTATGTTTTGTACAACTGACGGACACAGTTTAGAGAGAAAAAATAATGTCTGGGTAACATAGCTCTTGTATATGTTGTGCCTGTATTAGCTATTAACACAAAAGAAGGAATCAATTTGTGTTCTTAATAGTACCTTGAATCATTTATTAGCATCTGTTAATCTGGAGAGGTGAGTAAATAGTTAAACCGTTCGATTTCTTATACTTAAATCGAACCGATTAATATCAACAACTGAACCAACCAATCTTCATGGTTTAAACTGACCCAATTGAATAGATTATAGATAAGTTCAGTTGGTTAAATTTGTTAACCAACTCGTATATTTGAATTAATATATTAAGTCAATTTAGTTGGTCGTATTGGTTTAAAAACTGACAACCGATTGGCAAAATCATCAAAAATAATGCAAAAATTGCTATAATCAAAAGAATCAAGCTCAGATGCTGAGGCTGAAGCTCGAAAAATATTGCATTATTGAAAGAAAAGGAAAACAAAATGGCAAAAAGCATTTATGATTAAAATCAACAAAAATAACGTCCCATGCTACAAAATTTTTCCACCAATTAAAATAGGGAATGCTAAATATAGGAAAGAGAGTTTTGAGAGAATATTTCTAGACATTAATTATGGATGCAAAGACGGAAGAACTGGCCTATGATGAACGTTTCTTCATGAGCACACTACCTAAGCAACCACCAAGTCAGGTGTACGTCTCGACTCCAACCATGACTCGGCAGCAACTTTTGTCGTCAAAAACCAGCCAGCCTTGTCTGGGGCTTCATGGAATGGAGCATCTAGTTCCTTCAAATGTGACTCGATGACAGTTGCCAAGCCTTTCTCCGAGTATTTATGTTTCCCATGTCCAGTATTGATCCCGAGCAATGGGGGAAGCTCCTCTCCCAACTCCGGTGCTTTTGCCAAATCATTAATCCAAACATGCAGTGCAGTTAAAGCTGCCCCAAGAGAGAGAGACTTAAGATTCAAGGACCACTGAGTTGGAGACCTAGATTGTATACCAGCATAAATCTCTAGAGAAAGCCCCAGCTCTAGCAGCTCACAAGCTCTTTCCAACAGATCTAAGTTGACACAGAGATCAATCAAACAGTTACAGTAGGCTTTCTTTACATCCGAACTGATACAATTAAAAAGTTCTGATGCTTCATTCTTAAAATCCCCTTCGTCGTTTTGCTCCCCTACCAAAAGTTTCACCACACCACCTAGTTTTGGATTAGCCTTCCCAATGCAATCATTCAGCTTAGCAAGTTCTTCTCGTGGTGTATGTGTCATCACATTCAGAAGACAACCACAAAACCGATCATCGGGAGCTATCCCCAATTCATAAACTTGATTAAACGTCCTCACAACGTCATCGACACATTGGGCTTTCCCATAGCATTGAATAAGTGATGTCAAAACAAAAATGTTGGGTTCAAAACCGGCTTCCAACATATCATTCAAAATCCCCTCCACCTCTGAAACTTTCCCACTGCAAGAATATATGGTGATCATTGATGAAAATGTCCAACTGTCAGGCTTGCAAGTCCAGGAATTTTTCATGTCTTCGAAAATTTCAGCAGCTTCATCTGCCAAGCCAACATCAGCACACATGGCCAAAAGGGTATTGTAAAGAACAACAGTCAACTCCAACCCCTTGTCTTTCATCTCTTTATATACACTAAGAGCATCCTCACCATACCGAGCTCTTCCGTAAGCACGTAAGAGTGAAGCATAGGTTGCCCAATTCGGTGAAAATCCATTAGAAATCATCTCTTTGTAAATAGACTTGGCCTGCCAAGGCCTCTTGGCTCTCCCCATGGCATCCAACAAAGTATTATATATAACCGTATTAGGTTTAGCACCTAAGACCTTCATCTCCTCATAAACATTTAAACAGCCGTCATAATTTCCAGACATCCCGTGTATCTTAATCAAAGTTGAAAAAGTAACAGAATCGATCCTCCATTTTTCCGTTCTAGCACGGTCATACAAGGTGAAAGCCATATCAACATTCCCAGCACGGCCATAGGCATCAATCATGGCCGAGTAAGTGACCTCATCAGGATTACACTCATATGTAGGCATTTTCTCAAACCACTCAACAGCCTTATTGGGCAAACCACAGACCCTAGAACAACTAATCAGCGTGGAAAAGGTAATGTTGTCGGGCTTAACCCCTCTCTGAAGCATTTCATCAAACAGCTTCTCAGCACCATTCAAATCCTTAGACTTCCTAAAAACCTTAATGGTGACATTATAAAGAATGACCTCTCGAGTTGTTTTCGTTAATATCCTTCGAAAGTGGCCGAGAACAAGCGAAGCAATTTGAGGGTTCGACATGTCATTGAGAACAACCACAGCATCTTGCTCAGAAATATCGTCACCTAAACTAGTCAGAACAGCTAAAACATCTTTTTCATTGGCATTGCAAGCATCCAAAGACTCAGCTGCCTTGAGCAGAGAAGTGTACCTGGAATTGTAAGTCAATTGCCTGAGACGTGAAGCTTTGGGACTTCGAGGATTGACCCACACATTGCTTTTCGAAGAAGCGGTTTTTCCATTTGGATACCGGGGGTTTTGGGATTCTTGAGCTATGGGGTCCTGCAAGGAAACATGGGTAGCTTGGATAGAGGATTTTGATTGAAACGCCAAGGGAACAAGCCTAAGAGAAAGAGGTGAGGTTCTTAAAGATTTAGGCTTGGGTGAAACAGAGAGAAAGTGAGGGTCACGTAATAGAGTAGAAGGTGAGGAGCATAGATACGCCATAGTTGTGTTTGTTTAAGCCTTTAGCTTAAACTTTATAGCCCTCGACAGTGGAAGAGAAGAGAAGAGTGGCAAGTCTGAAGTCTATCTTGATACTGGAATAACCTTATCTACAAATTACAGATTTAGAGAGATTACATTGTTTCTCTCCGTTTTACCATCACAGCCTTGTATGGCCTTCCATATTATGATTTCATTTTTTACATGCCTAACCTATCATCGCCAAATCTCTCAAAATTTAAAATTAGAATCAATTATGTTTCAGAATATTTTATTTTTTTAGAATATTTTAATTCATGTTGATAAATATATTATTTAACATCAAAGATAATAGAAGCGAATATTTTCCACCCAAGTATTACTCGTCGTTTGAATATCCTCCCCAGTTTTTCAGTGACGATAATCCAATTGCTTGCTCTCTTATGTAAACTTTTTACGTATTTTCCATGCAATTTTGCAATTAGTTTATGTACTTTGTAATAAGATGTTCAGACACAAGTGAGTGCTTAATTGTGACATCTTTTGACATAATGTTGTGTAATTATAGGTCTTCTTGTTTCCCATCATTTGTAGTTGTAGAACGATTTTATGTACAGTTGCTGTAATATTAATTATACTCAAACTTTTCGGTAAAATTATGATTTGGATCCCTCTGTTATGTTCTAATGGAATGTAGTCCAAGATATTTCAATATTTAAACTAATGACATTATAAAAGTAAATAGATCAAATTAGGGCATAAAGACAAGCACAAGGGAATCTTCAAATTACTTATATATAAAGCATGGAAACAAGAAGAGATTGTTTAGAAGTTCTGAAATGTTGATTCCTTCCTAGGCCATAGTTAAAAAGTCCACTACGGCACAACATCTATACTCGCTGATAAATTATATCGACCACAATCATGTGATCACCAGACTACAAGATTCCATAGAGGGACACCCGTCTAATACTACCGCTGCACAGGTTTGTACAGCACCACAGTAACATACTTGGCCCGAAATCGATGAGTTGAACCGAGTGCCACCACGGGCTGGCCATTCTTCCCCTTTTGAATATACAGATGATTGAGGATTACATGCTTTGGTCTTGACAGAGGAGGTGGTATCTCCATGTGAGATGTAGGCAGATTGAGGAGTGGCAGTTGTAGGTGAGGAGGAACGAGCGGTGGTTCCTTTGCAAAATCTTCAGCTCCGAGCGGCAAGTTACTGTAACTTGAGTCGGGGGACTGAGGGGGTTCAAAACTAGATATACTTTCAATATCTTCTGGAACATAATCCTGCAGGGTGTTTATTCACAATTGGCATTTCTATTTAGAAAGTCAAGGAAATAAAGGCAAGGCCACGGAAGACAAAATGCAAGAAAGAATTCATATTAATGCTCCCGTGAATCAGCGGAGTGAAGATAATACATCAATATTTACCATTTTCATATGGAGTTGATTATAGCAACAAAATAGAACATACGAAAAAATGAATGTTATAGCTGAGTGTGGGTGCTTTTGATCACACGTGGAGCAAAATGCTTTGATGCTTTAGCTTAGCAATATATGGATCTCAATCATCACAATAATGCCAGCTCGATAAGCACAAGTTATAAGTATCCATGGATGCCAAGGAATTAATTTATCCCATGCTGATATCAATTTGAGACCGATAGCTCAACAGAAAAGTTTTCCAAAAAAATGGAATTTACCTCATCAGGACAAGAGTGGATATGTACATGGAACTTGCTCGTATTTTATGAAAACAAATAGTGGGGAATCCTAAAACCACAAATGCCAAACTCAATACAAGATAAAGGGAAGAACTTACCTGCAAATCCAAAACATTGTTAGCATTGCCAACACCATCTTGAACCCATGGCAAGTCAGGGGAATACCTCCACTGTCCATCAACAATGAACCTATACTGGTAAACACCTGATGGTAACACTTTCATAATAGTGAAGTCTTTTCCACATCTCTGCAAAGGAATTCTGATCCAGACCGCAAATAAGTTAAATGTCAGACCAGCAATAGCAGTTCATAAAGAGCTAACTATTTTCCTTTAAAAAGAAACTGTAGAAGGCAGGGAATATCAGGAACCTTGACTTCCAGTTATCCCATGATCCCTCAACAGCAACTTCTTTGCCACCGTAGTTCCATGTAATCATTGTTGGAATTCCCTTCTCGGGGAAGCCATCCTCATATCCTATTGTATTCTGCAACCATGACGGGCTTGATGTGTGCATCTCATCAGGTCTCTGTAAAGGAAGAACTGGAACCTGGAATGAAACAAGGCACAGTGGATAAAACTGGCAGCTTTTACGGAGAAATAGATCCATGTTACTATACTGGCATACTAGAAAACTAAGAAAATATCAGATTTGAGAATCTGTCTATGTGAAGTATGATGGGCTTAGGCTTGAAGAAATTTACGGCAGGACTTGGACCATAAAGAGAAAAAGGTTTTAGGATTTAGAACTGGATAGGGGAAGAAAAGGGACAATGGGAAAAAATGTGTCTCTTGAATTAGGAAAAAAAAAAGAATCCAAAACAAAGCATGTGGGATTATTACATATGGAAATGGTGGGAAAGCTATGATGTGTTTAAAGAGATTAATAAGAATTAAAAGTGACTAAATTGAACACCAAGAGAATTATCTAAACTCTAAGCTAAATCGTTCAAAAGTCAGTAACTTGCATAGATTGCAAGAAACTACATATTGCCCCCTATTACCCACATGTGTTAACAACTGCATAAACTGTTAACGAAGTCTGCATCAAAGACAACCTATAGATTAGGTTAGTTTTATCCACAATGCAACCTCGTGGCTTAATGTTACAACAGGAAAATTCATCCAGCGTGCACCAATGCAGAACCCTACCATTTTCTGCATCAGAGAGCATAGACAAAATCCATCCAGTATGCATCAATTTTATGGCCATTCACATTATACACATGTAATTTCCACACAAGAAGTTCTCTCTCTACCTGAGGGCCTTTGAATACTTAAAAATTATCGCAAAAGATAAATGAAACGAACATTATAACAACCCAATAACATCTCTTTAAATTGAAAAAAGTAAAGGGATCACACTAAGACTCCGCCAAAATTGCAACTCACAAACACACGCGCACACACACAAAAGAGCGAACATGGAGTTTATCAAGGAATTAGATACAACCTAGGAATGAATGTTGAGAAATAGATTATATATTTTCTAGTTGGGGAAGGAGGCACCTAAGATCCACTCTTCGAGTGAGAGGAACCATGCAGCAAACACTAAGTCAAATACTATAAATAATCTAAACACTTCGTTTACCTGAAAACCACAGATCAAAATTTATACTCATACTATAATTTTAAGAGCTTTGATTCGTTGTTTACACGGAAATCTTGAAATCTTTTACACTTGGAACATTGATCTAATTATAACTTTTATAGGTCAAATTCACAATATTTGTTAAAAAAGTACTAATTAGTTAAAACAAGTAATAACATAGATCCACAAAAAACTAATTTAAAATTCACTTTCATAATCATTATTTTTACTTAATTTTATGCACAGAACATATATACATGATATGAAGAAGCCAGAATCCCATGCAACAAAATCAAATCACGTTCCATGAAATCTAAATCCCCAAAAAAACGTACCTGGGGAGTAAACATGAGAGGGGAGTGGGTGGATGTGGGACTGTGAGGAGGTGAGTGACCCATGGGTGCAGCCAAAGCTTCGAGAATACTGTTACCCTTTTCTTCTTCTTCTTCAAACCCAGATGGACTGTTACTCACATCTTCTCTTCCATTCACATTCCCCATTTTTTTCTCTCTAAATTATTAAAATTAATTATTGTCTCTTTATTGATGATAAATTTATCACCTTTTCTTTTTGTAATATATAATTAACAAGGCAAAATAGAGAAAACCCAAACTCCCACCACTCACAGAATCTCACAATTGATTCATAATTCCCCCACTATAACAGATGTCCATAATTTTAAAAAAGAAGGGGAAAAACCCAGATGCAGAAATCGGAAATTAAAAAAATAATAATAAGAGAGAAAAATTAAGAGAATTATGCGATGAGTTATGAGTGCTGATGTAGTAGTGAGGGGGATCTGGAATGGGGGATGAATGGATGAAGGTCACGTCATCGTTTGACAAAGTCTTTTGATTCTCAGTTGGTTTTTGTTTTGGTTTGGAGGTTTTAGAGCTATAAAACTATGAGCTTTCCCCCCTTCTTCTGTCTCTCTGTTTGTAATGGCTAATGCCTGGCTTACCCGTTCTCCTGCACTTTTCAGCTCTGCTTTATATAATATCTGTTCTTACTTTTATAAAAAAAAAAGTATTTAACAATAATTATTGCAATTATTACACTTTTCTTAAATAAAAATCAACCATTTACACTTTCCATCTCTATTATAAAAATATTAAAATAAATATTCATCATCTAATAATTAGATATATGTAAATAAATATTTAAAAAAAATATTATGTGATATTATTTTAAAAATTACTAGTATATGAAATGTAGCTAATGTTTATATTATGTTTATGCAAAAAAAAAGTTGCTATCATTGTGAATTGATAAAATATATTCAAATATATCTCACAATATTAAATTCAGAATAAATCTATGATAAGATTCAGATATGATAATTACGAATAGTAAAACTCAGATAGGTGTTCAAGGATTCAAAATATCGATATGAAGAACACCACCAAGCAATGCAAAAAAATTATTATCCATGGATGAATTCATAAAGAATTGAACAAAGTGGGGGAAGAAAATGACTTATCAGCATGAGGGAAGCACCAAAATGGTAGCCCAGTTTAATGGAGTGGTCCATAAGTAGCGAAGCAATTAGGTGGGAAGGAATCCAATCCGAGCCCGCGTGTGGTACCGTACTGCAAATTACTACAACACAGGGTTAGCAATAAAGCTGATGACATGACGATGCGAAATTTTCTTTGGGGAAATATATCAAACACAACAACGGAGATACCCGAATCGACATTAGCTGTATTTGGTGATATGGGGAGGAAAGCCCATCACTCTTATTCATAAAAGCAACATACTGAATGATTATTTTCCTTTACTGTCAATGCAGCACATCAGTGCTTATTTGTTTTCTTATGCATTTTCAACAACCATTCTTCATTTGGTACTCTACTTCGGTTTCTTACTTCTTCTCATCAATGAAAGATGGGCTTTAAAACGATGTTTATTGGGTCGAGTAGTAAAAAATTTAATGTTCTAAATAATATTTTAATTTCAAAATTTTGTATATAGAAAAAATAACATTGAGAGGACCTTTAATTATTACACTTACAAGTAACTTTAGATGCATCTCACCAATACGCCAAATATATAATCATTATACACTATGAAACTTTTAATTTAAAATTTTATAAAATAGTTAAATTAAATGCGCCGAATACATGATCTAAGGTGTATGCTGTAAGTTCTCACATGTAGAGGAGACGATTTACAGATTTAAAACTCAATACTGTGACTGAAGCGCCATCTAATGAGTCATGCATGATCATGTATATATCTCCAAGTGTTTCCCTCGTTTAAGCTATCTGTTTTGCTGTATTGGTAGCCTTTCTAATGCAGGATTTTAAAGGTTTAGATGCCATGTGCTGGAACCTTGTCTTTCCAACGGTGTACGTGCGTATATCGTCTTGGACCGATGAAAGTTTCAGGGGCTTGTGTTTCTTCACTGGTGCTGGTTGACACTTCAACTTCCTCGGTATTCGAATAACTTTAACTGAGCATATATTTTCCAAATTGGTAATTCCGTGGAGGTGAGATGGAAGATCGATGATGTAATCTCCGTATTCATCTGTCGTGGCTTGTGTTGTGTATGATATGGTCTTACATGGAGTTTCACATTTAACAATCACCATAGCCCCTATACATGAACAAACTAATTAGCATTTAACGAAATCAGGCAATTAAGAAGATGGTAAAAGCAAAGTTGAAAGAATCACAAATGATATATAGATATGAAATGGCAGAACTGAAACCTGAAATGGGCCATGAACGAAGTTGAGGATGATGGTGATGGTGGAGATGGCAAGCCTGACAAAGAACAGAGCCAGTAACGAGGACGGTGGATAGCTTCTCCTCGCCATATCCAGCCATATGCACCATCTCTTCTAGCTCCGCCGCCGCCGCCATTAATGAACTCTGTTGAAGGAACAATGAAAGAATGACGGCCATTGTCGTCATAGCCGGGAAAAAACTTGTCATCTTCACCTACTTTGAATTGATCTGCCCTGTGTTTCTCAAACTATATATTGCTCTGCAGGCAAAAGAAAAGACGGTCTAAGTGAGAGACGTGTATTTTATGTTGGATTTGGAGGGAAAGGGATTGCATGGGCAGATCAACTGTGAAGTTGGTCAAGCGCCGGTTGTTTGTTCGCCTACTCCTATCATATAATATTTGTCTAAATATGCCTTTACTCCTTCTACTATATTAATATTTGATGTTTAACCTCTTTACTTTTATTAAGCTATTAGCATGCTCAAATTGATAACATCAATTAATTGTTTTCATTAAAGTGATAAAGCGATTATTTTAATTATTCAATCATATAGTTAGGGTTATAAAATTTTATATTACTAATGATAATGATTAACATTATTATCAGTTAGGATCCATTAATAATAGTACGAACCAAGTTATTTCAATGATTAAAGGGGTGGTTGCTATTCCTAGAGGTTTCATGTTTAAAGTACCAGATACTACAAGGGTGTTTAAGTTTTCATTTAATTAAGAATCTTTATGGCATATATTATCTTATAATCACTATATTTAATAAAAATAAAAGATATATTAATAATATTATAAATTAGGTCGAATTAAATTTAATTAACTGACCATGAAATACAGGGAAAACTCAGTTTTATATTAATACAAACAAAACCTCCTCGTATATAACAATTATAGGTCAATTTTTTCATTAGTCCCTATACTTAATATATAATAATGAATTTATCCCTATGTTCTAATTTAGAAAATTTGTCCACAAACTTTTTCAATTTTTTAATTTTAAACTGCAAATTTCAATCATGACCCAACTGCAACAAAAACAATATAATTAAATTACAAAGATTGAAAATGGACAAATTGGAGCATAGTGACTAATAACACAAATTAAATTACAAAAAATAAATATATATTTTACACATGGTATAGGCACTAATAGCAGAGTTCGTCTTGATGGATATTTTTTGTCTTAGGATCTAAGTTTATTTTCTTTAAAAGGTATAGGGACTAAAAATATCAAAATAAGCAAAGGGTTAAATCTATAGTTTATGAATAGTACAAGGACTAATAGCATAATTGGACCAAAGATGTATATAAAAAGAGGCTTGACCGGGAAGAACAAATTGCCGCCCTTCTTAGTCTCAGTATTTTCAAGGCAGCCCCAACAATCACCCATCTACATTTTGCTCCTTGAAGCAAAATCTATGAGCTTTAATTAATTTCTTCTTACTTTGGGAATTGCTAATAATATATAAGTCGACAGAATTTGGAGTTGGTAACCTGCCAAAGAGAAAGATTGCTTCCCAAGTTTCTGTTTCTGTTTTCATTCTTTGAAACAAAACATCCAAATCTAAACTTAGAATGAATCATTCATGTAGCTGTGTAACATGTTGGCTAACAGATAGCAGCATTTGTGCTTGTAAAAGTCAAAAGAATTTATTTATGAATTTCAGAAGCTGGTATAAAGAGAAAAGCATAAATGGAGATCCCTGGTATTGAAAAACATAGAAACTGTATAAAGGATAAAACTGTGCATTGTAAGGAACTATTGCTGTATGCCTAGAAAGCAGAAACTTCCAAGTTGTAGAATGATGTACACTTGTTGTAAACTGATAAGTCATAAATCCGCATGCCCATTTCAGTGGAACTTGAAATGATGGATAAAGTTGCCAACTTGAATGCCCATGTGAATGTTTACGGCATTTACTTTCAGTGAATCGCATGGAAAAAACAATCTACAATACGGTGTAAAATTTGATGTTTTATGTACAACATCCACTCTGTCATCTCCATCTTCCTAGTTTGTACCGCTGGTAAGAGCTTGTTGCGGTTTGGCCGAATTCAACCTAAAATTAGAAGGGAGTGGTCCTCTTGTCGTAAGTTGATTCGATATTTTCAAACTCTGCTGCTCTTACTTGGAAACTGCTGATTGATTGAATTGTCATCGCTTGCTGTTTTATGGAAGATGCTCGAGTGTTTTCTTTTAGTTCCTGCCTCTCGTAGTATGGCATGGCATTCTTGCGATATCGAATCGTGTGTGAAGATCTGATAGAACTTATAAAAGGTGAAAAGTTGATCGAGTTTACTGTGTCGATATTTTATATGGTTTTGAAGCCTATTTTAATAAATTCATCACCATAACCATTAATGCAACTGAATGTCTTGTGATATTTTCCTTGTTTCAGCACATCTTCGGGAATGAACCTTTAAAGAAGAAGAGGAAGCGAAAAGATTGAACATCAGCTGAAAACTGCATTTGATACTACATCCTGTTGTGCCCAGTTCTTGTGGTATTTTTATATTTTGTTTTCCTGAGTTATAATTATGTTTTATGTTAAATCGAGTTAACATTTAATATTTTAAATTTTCGGAAAAGACTAACTGGCATAATACAATAATTAGAAGGTTCAGTTCAAATATCTAAAAGTTAATTTAATAAATGAGCCATATACATAGATATTTAATGAGTTGATCAGTTTGAGAGTTGCTCGAATTAAATTTAGTCAAAATTTCGTTAATACTTGATTTGAATTGATTTGATTCGAGCTCGACTCTAGACCTTAATTAGTTGAGTCGAACAAGGTCCTAAGTTTGCTAGCAATTTGTTAATTTTTTAAATATTTTTAATTGTTACCTTAAAAATTTATTCTTTTGGAAAAGGAAAGTCTAATTGATAATTACTAACTTACTTATAGATAATAAGAAATATGCTAAATTACTAATTAGTACTAATTTATTAATTTTCGAATGCAATACAAGAAATATACTAGATAATTAATTATTAATTTATTATATTTTACCTATAGTTAAAAAATAAAATAAAAATTTTAGTGAGCTTAACAAGCAACGTGTCGAATTAAGTGAGTCGAGCAAGAAATTTTTTGAATGAACACGAGTCAAGAAAATATAGACAATTAAAATTAAAAAAATATAATTTAAACATTCACTTTTCAATTGAGTAAAAAATTAAAATATATTCTTTAAAACTCTTTATTTTTTTTAAAATATAATTTATTTTCATAACTTATTATGGAACAAATCATTCTAAGTAGTATATTAGTATTTTGAGATGGGATAACTCCCACTTGAAGTCCACGTGGCAAATTTTAATGAAAAATAATAAAAAATCTTATAGTAGTAAATTACAAAGTACAAAAGCAGAAATCAGCATTTGGAGGGGAATTTAAGTTGCATTTAGAGCTCATTTGTTGCGTGGAACTTCATATCTAAAGCCTCGAATCCCGAAACCCAGAGGAGGGGCGAGAGCAAGAGCCATAAAAAACCAAAACCCCTTTTTCCCTCTTTTATTTTCTATCTCCATCTTATCGAGTTCGCGACTCATTCAGCTGGTACTCAGAGCTACACAGCGAGAGTGAGCAGGAGACGAAGAAGCTGCTGCTTTGCTTTGCCTTGCGAGCAGAAATTGGTAATAGCAAATGGCGGAGAAGCTGGAAGAGCAGCTCATGGAGCTGGGATCTAAGCTGGAATCTCCTCCATCCGCCAAGGACGCCCTTCTCAAGCTGTTAAAGGCACGCATTCTTCAACTTAATTACTTCTCCACTGAACTTCCTAGTTCCGCTAGGGTTAATTCATGCCTAAACATTTTCCTTCCCTTACTATTTTGGGTTTTAGGGTTGTAACCGTATGCTCTACCTGAATTAGATTGCTTAGCTAAAGTTTTTTCCTAATTGGTTGAATTAGGGTTGTTCTCACAATTCACAAGGTTTCTCCTTTGTTACATGTTACCCCCTCATATTTCCTGCCAACTTGAGTTTGCACTTGTATTGTATGCCCTTAATTTGCTACTTGATGTGATATTTAGGTCAGCCGTTATTTTGAGTTAATTCAAGCTATGGGTTGCTGTATTAGAATGTTCTATTGTTCTTGTCCCAAGTAGTTGTATCTTCAAACATTATGGTTCTTCTCGGCAGTGACCCAGGACTTAAACAAGCTGCAATGTGCTAGCCTCGAGACCTGAACTGTGTTTGACATTTCCCCCCCCACAAATTTGAATGATTGATAACCTCAATACTTCAAGAACATAAGCATGCCATAAATCTTTGGTTTTGGTGCCTTTCATGGATTACACCACCCATCTCTCGATTTGTGTAACAAGGCGAAAAGTGTGTAATGTCTGGCCTTAGTTTGGAATTTTCATCATGGTTTGCAAAGGGCTTTAACGGGTGTTGTGGTGAACATAATCAACCTTGAAAAGAATTCAACCTAGACTTGGAATTACTTCAATTGGATCCGTTAATTAAATCTCTACCTTCTGTTAGCTTGTGGGCTCTATCCATAAAATGATCTATGGAAGCTAACTAATCTTTACCAATCCATGTATAATGTTGTCTTACCCTCTCTCCTCCCTTAATTCATTTTTTGTCACATTGAATTACTTTTTGAAAACTCGAATGCCCGTTGCTCAACATTGAACTTGACTAAACATCATTGTTTTGTTCCTTCCGTTTGTGAATGATTAAGTGTCCGTCGATAAAATAAATGTTTGTCAATGGAGTAGCTAGGTTACTCAATCAATAGCAACTAGCTATTCAAAAAATTCTTGTCATATCCGAACATAGGCCAAAGAGATTTTGTCGAATATGGAATTATGGATTGGTTTTATTTTGGTCTCACATGGTGCTTGGAATCTCTAATGGTGAACTTGCTATGACATGAAGATATATCTCGTTATGCATGAAAGATGGTAGTTCTTATTTTTATCGACTCAAATTTATTGGTGGTTTAGTGGAAAGCTTAGATATTTTTAACTTTGAGTTTGTTTGAATCACTGATTGTGAATTTCATTTTTCCAAACTATTTTAAAGGTATGATACGACCCTGGCATTGGTTGATAATTCTTAATGATAGTAAAGATGTTTTCCTATATTTTTCTTTTATTCTTGTCTATTATACATATGTTCTTTATCATTTTACTTGCACACATCTGGCATCAGACCTATGTGCTAGGAGAATCGGGTCTTTGGTAATATGTATTACTTCATGAATCTTGTACATCCTGTTAGATGATTGAACTTGTGAATTCATATATATTATGTGTATCAAAGTCAGCGGCAGTCCTTTAATTCGGTTATTTGGCATATATCATGAATGTTTTCCCTCTAATCCGCAGCAAGCTGCTACATGTCTCTCTGAGATTGCCCAGTCTCCACCATCATCAATAATGGAAGCAATACAGCCTCTGCTTAATGCAATTGTCAAGCCAGAACTGCTGAAGCATCAAGATCGGGAAGCCAAACTTCTAGTTGCAACCTGTATTTGTGAGATAACTCGAATAACTGCACCTGAAGCGCCTTATAGTGATGATATTCTAAAGGTGCTTTTTCTTTCATGAAGATTTATTGTTTTTGGTCTTGATTTTCTTAGAAACTAATAAATTTTCAACTAAACTTCTGGTGACTGATACGTGGCATGCTTTCAGGATATTTTTAACTTGATTGTTGGCACTTTCAATGGATTGAGCGATACTAGTGGTCCATCATTTGGAAGGAGAGTTGTAATTTTGGAGACTCTTGCAAAATATAGATCCTGTGTTGTGATGTTGGATCTTGAATGTGATGATTTGGTTAATGAAATGTTCAGTACCTTTTTTTCTGTTGTTAGGTATGTTTTGCTCCAGTATTTATTTACTGTTTTGAGGGGAGTGCTTGCTTTGTGATCTTGGATCTTGAATATGATAATCTGAATATCTGATTAATAAAATGTTCAGTACCTTTTACTCATTAGTTTTAAATATGCTTTGCGAGTAACATGAATGCTTTTATTATTGTTGAATGTAGAAATTTGAAATGGCTCTATGATACATTTTGGTATTGGTCTTAGTATTTCACTTTAGTGTAGCGGCCAAAATATGCCTGCAACCTCTTTTTGTTCTTGTATGTATCTTGGCCATATCTATGTGTATATGCATTATTGTTGGTATAGTTGGTGCCTGAATGTTTGATCTTCCCCTAAATTGCTTTTACAGTAAGAATCTTCAGGTAGTTTATAGCTTTTCAGTCTGTATTTTGAATTATCATGGACTGAGAGACTGATTTTTACTACATATTGCAGGGATGATCATCCAGAAAGTGTTTTATCATCCATGCAGACAATCATGATCGTTGTGTTAGAAGAGAGTGAAGATGTTCGAGATGATCTTTTACTTGTTATATTGTCTGCATTAGGTCATAATCGAAGTGTAAGAATTTCATGTTTACTATTGGCTTATTGCTTACAGATTGTGTTGCTGCCCGTATTTATTTCTTAGAAGTTATAATTCTTAATTGGAAGGGGATTTATTTCTGGAATCTATATTTCAGGTTGTTACACAAGCAGCCAGGAGACTTGCTATGAATGTTATAGAGAAGTGCTCAGAAAAACTTGAAACCGGAATAAAACAGTTTCTTATTTCAGTGATGTCTGGAGATAATCAGCCAGTAAAAAGTGAAATTGACTATCATGAAGTTATCTATGACATTTATCATTGTGCTCCTCAGATACTGTCAGGAGTTGTCCCATACCTCACAGGAGAGCTGTTGGTATGCAAACAATCATTGTTTTTCACTTTTACTAATTACTTTAACTGCATTATGATTTTGTTCTCCATTTTAAGACATTTATTTGTTGTTTTTGAGAAATTTTGTTATATTCTGAAACAATTCTTATAATCTTTTTGAGATGAAATCTTTATAGTTATGGAGAGTTAGGTCCAACCTTCTTGGAAATGAGGGCTCCTTTTTGTCCTCTTTATTATGGATTTTTTATAGTTTCAGTCTTGTGTTTTGAAAATGAGTTCAGAGATGCTCGAAGTTGATGAACAATTTCTGATGTTTGTAAGTTTCAATATATGCAGACCGATCAAATAGACACTCGTTTGAGAGCTGTGAGATTGGTTGGATCCCTCTTTGCTCTGCCTGGCTCTAGCATATCTGAAGCGTTTCAGCCAATATTTTCAGAATTTTTGAAGAGGCTGACTGATAGAGTTGTTGATGTTCGAATGTCTGTCCTCCAACATGTTAAGAGCTGTCTATTGTCGGATCCCTCAAGATCTGAGGCTCCTCAAATTATATGTGAGTTTCTTTTGTTTTTTTAATACATATTTATTTGTATTAGTTGGCTAATTTTGTTTTGTTCTACAATTTCTAGCTGCCCTCTGTGATCGGCTTTTAGACTATGATGAAAATGTTCGAAAGCAAGTTGTGGATGTAATTTGTGATGTTGCTTGTCATTCTCTTGTTTCTGTCCCCGTTGGGACTGTAAAACTAGTTGCAGAGCGTCTTCGGGACAAATCTGTATGTTATTTTTCCTGTACTTGGATTACTGTTGTTACCTCTTTGTGTCCAGCGATCATTATCTAATGCATTTTAGCTTTTTCTTCTGTTTGGAATGTACAGCTGATTGTTAAAAAATATACCATGGAAAGGCTGGCTGAGATTTTCAGAGTTTATTGTGCTGGATACTCTGATGGCTCGATCAATCACAATGAATTTGATTGGATACCCGTGAAGATTTTTAGGTGTTTCTATGACAAAGATTTTAGGCAAGTCATTTGAGATACTTGCAAGCAAGGGTTAATTTTGCATTTGTTTAGAACATATCACATTATTTTATCTCTGTTTTCCTCGTTATTCAAAGTTTAGGGGCTATTTAGTTAATGCATTTAGATCTTTTATTAGGAAAGATGGTAGATTTAAGAAGGGATTATATAAGCTTATGGTTGGAGGTATCCTATATTTTCATCCCTTTATTACATAATATCTTCAATCAAAGCCATACAAAAGAGACTGGAAATCTTGTTTGTATAAATTTCCTTCTAATGATTATTTATTTATTTATTTATTCCTGAGCGTGTTTGCAATTAGTTAATAGGATGAATTGGTAATCTATTACTTTTTTTATTAGTACCTTAGTGAACACTGTTTTCTTATAGTAAAATGCTAAGTCGAAAATTTAAAGAGCTGTGACTCTTTGTTTGGTGTGTCTCACATAATCATATAGCATTTGTAACATGTAGATCTGCCCTGCAGGTCAGATACAATTGAATCTGTTTTATGTGGATCCCTCTTTCCTACTGAATTCTCAATCAGAGATAAAGTTAAAATTTGGATAAGAATTTTCACTGGGTTTGACAAAATTGAGGTCAAGGCACTTGAGAGGATGCTAGAACAGAAGCTAAGGTATATTGTAGTTTCTTATATGGTTTTTGAGTAACTTCCCCTTCAATTTTGTATCTAATGGATTCTAAATTGAGTTTTCGGGGTTTCCTGTTGGATTGCAGGTTACAGCTAGAGATGCAGAGGTATCTCTCTCTAAGGCAGAGGCATCAGGTTAGAAGCTTTGAGAGATGAAATAGTATCCTAATTCCTAAAGCACACAAGTTACACTTCTATGGTCTGTTAAATTGAAATAACTGGTTCTTTCTTCAATACAGGATAGTGATTCTCCTGAAATACAAAAGAAAATTTTGTTTAGCTTCCAAATCATGTCCCGCTCTTTTTCTGATCCTGTGAAGGCTGAAGAGAATTTTCAGACTCTTGATCGGGTTAAAGATGCTAACATTTGGAAGATTTTATTGAATCTACTGGATCCCAATACCAGCTCCCATCAAGCTTCTAGTGGTCGGGTAGGTTGTAAGATATTGACAAATGCAAATATAAATGGGATGTAGCTCATGAGTGAACTTCTCTTTGATGTTGGGGGAAAAATGAATTGTGATGAGAAGTTTGACCCATGAAATCCAAGTTTTTTCATTGTACGATTTATTTTTGATATATATGTTCGTAAATTGCAGGATGAATTGCTTAAAATACTTTCTGAGAGGCACCAACTCTATGATTTTCTAAGTATGCTCTCCCTGAAGTGTTCTTATCTACTTTTTAACAAGGAGCATGTGAGAGAAATCCTCGTGGAGGTTACTGTACAGAAGTCTGCCAGAAACACACTATACATTCGATCTTGCATGAATATACTTGTGGTAATAATTTGTATTCCTATGAAATTTCTTTTTCTGGGTGTGAACAAGTCCCAGCTGTTCAATTTTGTTTGGTCTTTGCTTTTGTGAGCGTCTTTCTTTTCCTATTCTCCAGTTTACATTGTTATTTAGAGTTTGCAAGTTTAGTGCTTTCAACATTGGTCCTATAAAGTTTATGTTCTTCTTTCTCCTCTTGGGAACATATTCTAATTTTGTTTTTAATGTCTTCTTGTTGCTTTCCAGATACTTGCACGATTTAGTCCATTGCTTCTGGGCGGAACTGAAGAAGAGCTGATTAATTTTCTGAAAGATGACAATGAAATTATAAAGGAAGGGATTTTGCATGTTTTGGCTAAGGCTGGTAGTACCATCCGAGAACAACTCGCAGTGGCATCAAGGTGCAACTTTGGGATACTTGACTTGTTAGAGTTTGTATGTTATCTTTATTCTTAACAACTTCGTAATGGTTGTTTGCAGTTCAATTGATCTTATATTGGAGAGGCTTTGTTTAGAAGGTAATCGGAGACAGGCCAAGTATGCAGTGCATGCACTAGCAGCAATAACAAAGGATGATGGGCTCAAATCTCTCTCCGTTTTATATAAGGTTACACAATACTTTATACTCGTTAGTTATATATTCAAAATGTGTGTATTTTTTAAAATATTACAAATATCACTTTCTTGATACATTTGCCTAACCAACAGTTTCTTTGCTCAACTTGCAGAGCCTTGTGGACATGCTGGAGGAAAAGACACATTTACCAGCGGTACTTCAGTCTTTGGGATGTATAGCTCAGACTGCAATGCCTGTTTTTGAAACTAGAGAGAGTGAAATTGAAGAATTTATTAAAAGCGAAATTTTGAGATGCAGTAATGTATGTTGTATCTTTCAGTTTTTTTTTAATTTCTGTCATATTTATTTTCATGCATTAATCTTCTTTGTTGCTTCAGGATGCAGATTGTAGTGCAAAAGAATGTTGGGATGACAAAAGCGAACTTTGCATGTTGAAGGTTGTGAAATTGTTGTCAGTTTGTTATTATCATTTCCGATAAAAGCAATTTTATTAATAGTATCAGTATCTGTCGGAACATGGAGTCCGGGTTTGAGTTTATGATTTTCGAGCTTTTTTGCTTTTATAATGTTTTTTTGTGATGGATCTCTCAGCCTGTAATATTGTTTGTGTGCCACAGGTGTTCGGGATAAAGACATTGGTCAAGAGCTACTTGCCTGTCAAAGATGCTCATCTTCGTCCTGCTATTGGTGACCTTCTAGGACTCCTTAGAAACATACTTTCTTTTGGTGAAATATCTGAAGATATAAAATCAAGGTACTATAGCTGATCTATGTCGATTTCCTCAATTGAATGATATGTGTTGCTTGTTGAGGCTTAAATTTCACGCACAAGTTTTTACTATCTTTCAGCTTAGTTGATAAGGCCCATTTAAGGCTTGCTGCAGCCAAGGCAGTTCTTCGTCTGTCCCGTAACTGGGATCATAAGATTCCTGTTGATATTTTTTATTTAACCTTAAGGGCAGCGGAGGTGAGGTCATTTTTTAAATATAAATCATTAATCTTGTTTTCTTTAACCTTTCTTGCTCAATTTGCCCGTTTTCTTATGTCTTTTTGGTTTTCTAGATCTCTTTCCCTCAGGCTAGGAAACAATTCCTCAGCAAAGTTCATCAATATATTAAGGACAGACTCTTGGATGCAAAATATGCTTGTGCTTTCTTACTTGGGATACCTGGAACCAAAGATCTTCAGTTTGATGAGGTTTACATGCTGAACTTTATTTTTTTAGTGTAGTTTGCTGTCCAATTTTTGTTCCTTTGTGGAGGGGTTTGTGAATGCCACTGGTATTTTCTGTTGTGTTTGAAACAGCAGGAAAAACAGAATTTAGCCGATATCTTTCAAATGTATCAGCAAGCAAAAGTTCGGCAGGTTGCTATACAATCTGATACAAATTCCTCGACATCATATCCTGAATACATCCTGCCTTATTTGGTCCATGCTCTTGCTCATCATTCACGTGCCAACACAGATGAATGCAAGGATGTCAAAGCATTTGAATTAACATATCGGTATATCCATCGTCTTATTCTGTCTTTGTTTTTTGTTTGAGATACAAATTCAGTCATTTAACTCATCTATTCTGTATTTTTCAGGAAATTGTACTTGACCATTTCTTTGTTGGTAAATAAAGATGAAGATGCCAAGTCAGAAGCTGGTGCTAACAGGGAGAAGGAGAGTATTTCTTTGATATTCTCCATCTTTAAGAGTATCAAGCGCTCTGAAGACGTTGTTGATGCAATGAAATCGAAGGTTGAGCGTTTTGTTTCCTTTTAACTAGTTCATAACTCTGCCTCTCTCGAGGATGAGATAAGTTAAAGCCCTCATTAAAACAAAAAAGCTAATTCGTATGATATCTTTCCCCAGAATTCACATGCTATTTGTGACCTGGGACTTTCGATCATGAGGCGTCTAGCTTATAAGGAGGAGGATTTGCAAGGTCTTATACAGTCAGTCTCTCTGCCTTCACTCCTGTACAAACCATATGAAAGAAAAGAAGGTGAAGATTCCCAGGTAAGGCTTCTATCATATTTCTCATTTTATCGTGTAGCTAACCCACTTGTCAATAATTTATGCAAACAGTGTTATGCTTCAACCATGCAATTACATGGTGCCAATTACATTCATTTATTTATTCATTTGCACAGCCTATTTGGCCTATAATTTTAGCACAATATTTTTTTTACGTCTCTTTCATCATTTTGATAGGATGGAGAAAGGCAAACATGGTTAGCTGATGAGAGTGTCCTGTCTCACTTTGAATCCCTAAACTTGGATTGTGATGGAACGGTATGATATGCTCCCTTTCTTTCATCTAAAGGGTACTATATGGTGATTTGTGAGGGCTATAAAAGAAAGTTCTTCAGAATTGGTACGATACTGTACTGGTGCATACCAGTTGGTACACCCTCTACTGGATGATACACGATTTTTTAGAAAAACTCTTTTCTCTCGGTTGATTCGTTTGACCAATTCCTAATGATATTCTCTCATGATCTTTTTCCCCCTTAATAAAACATGTTTATTAGATTAAACTATTGAACTGTTTGTAATACACAACAGAACTTGAAAATGAACTATAAATGTATATAAAAAAATTGAAAAATCTCATGATAAATGTTAAATGGTACAACGAAATACATTGTTACTGGTATGTATTAGAACGAAAGAGTACTTCCATACTGTTATGATAGTGACTACTTTGGTATTTCATGTTACGTTGTTTACCAACTTTTCCTGCTCTCCTTTTATCTTACATTTGATCCAGAAAGAGATTTCCAAGGAAGAGACTCTCAAGGACAGTGAAACTGAAAGAAATGAAGTGCCTCTCAGAAAAATGATTAAGCAATTAAAATCTAAAGAATCCAAGGCTCGGAAGGCTAAAAAGAACAAGTCTTCCTCGGTAGAAGCAAAAGATGCTGAAAATGATGATATTTTGAAAATGGTGAGGGAAATAAATTTGGATAGTCTACAGATGTCCAGTAAGTTTGAATCAACCAATGGTCATAGACATTTTTCAACCAAGAAAGAAAAAGTGGAGCAGGAGCATCAGAAAGGTAATAAGAGAAAAGTCAATGTTGCAGCTTCTTTCCCAGTGCCTAAACGCAAGAGGTCGTCGTCTACACATAGTGCTTTCAAGATTTCTAGAAGTGCTTCTAAGGTCCCTTCAAAGGATTCAGGAGATGACTGGCATGAAGCGAAAGGTTCCTCGTTTCTGTCTATGGAAATGGACATTGATAAATTACATAATTCAAAAGAGAAAATGCCTGCACGCAAAAGATGGAATGAGAATAATGAATCGGACTACTTGGTGCCAAGCATTCGGAAGAAAAGAAGCTTCTCTTCAAAAGGCAAAGGCAAAGGCAAAGGCTCTAAGTGGGGTCATAGTGACGAGGACGATGAAGATGAAGCTGCTGATGAAATTCTGGAGGTGTGATTTTTTTTTCTCACTTGGTTAAATTGCTGTCAGGAATGCACACATTTTATGTTCTCACAGTTCATTGTTGTGATATCTGTTTTATATCTCCATGCAGAAGTCAGAGACCAGCAAGTCTGCATTTGGATCTAGCAAGAAGCAGAAGAGGAGCATTGCAGGATTAGCAAAGGTCCCTCCCTCCCTCTTCTTTATGTCTTGGTATAGCTTGCATGCATTTTTTAATGCTTTCGCTAGAATTTATTATGTAACAATATTTGGAAATGCACCAAGCACCTGCCTTGCTTCTCTCTATTGTTGAGATTTAGCACAGATGCATACCATCTATAATCTACTTTGTGCATTTTGTAGTTCTATTGTGGCATTGTTGCCCTATAAGCATTGTCCTAACACATTTAGAATGGCTTCTTTTTTTCTCCGTTTAAATCCTCTTGGTTTTGGGCCCATTGTTCATTATTGATCTTCTTTGTTTCTTTTGATCAGTGCTCAACCAAGGAAGATGGAATTGATATTGCAGATTTGATTGGCGACAGAATAAAAGTGTGGTGGCCTTTGGATAAGCAGTAAGTAATCAAAACTTTTGCTGTTCTTTGCAGCAGATTCTAAATGTTTACTGAGAATCATACTGTGAAATAGATTCTATAACTTTTGCGGTTCTTTGTTATTTATGTTGCATTCACGTGTCTTGAGAATTCGCATGAGGCTTCATTTGCGTACAGTTGAAATTCTGAAAAGAGTGTGTGCTCTGTGTTGGTGTTGTATGACTATTTCAACTTTCTCCTTGCCAGACTTGCAAATTCATCATCTTTTTTTATTTTGTTTTAACGAGGGCCAAAATTTATTCAAAAAAGTGTTCTGGTCTTATAGCAACTAAGGTTTTTTATTTATTTTATATTTAGCATTGTATATGAAACATTGTGCTTATCCGGTCAACTTAACAGTTTCCCTGTGAGTATTAATTTCTTTCTAGTCTGTAAAGTAATTTTTTCACCTGTTTCCACGATGTTGTAAATGTGCAAAGTGCAATATTCTATTTGAACTGGTGCATTATCATTTTGCATAACATTAATCCTTATAGAGGTTCTTTACTGATTGTATCTTACTTCTGGAAATGCCAGGTTTTATGAAGGTACAATTAAGTCTTATGACCCAATAAAGAAGAAGCATGTGGTAAGATGCAGTTTTTTTCTAACTTGAATTAACATTTTAACATTTCTGTCACAGTGAATCGACTGTTAATCAAATGTATTTTCTCCTTAGATATTATATGACGATGGAGATGTGGAAGTACTTCGTCTGGAAAGAGAGCGATGGGAGCTCGTTGGCGCAGGCCGCAAGTCTGGAGAGGTTAAAACTTCACATCGTGCATACTGTTTCAGGCTAAAACAGGCTAAAATCGTTTTAGCTTTCATTTGAGCTTACTCTATATCTGTTTTGCTTGCAATTTTGACAGAAGGCAAATTCATCGAAAGTCACCAAGAGCCCTCTGAAGGAAGTGTATGTTCTATTAACTAATGTGGTTTTTAGATAATTCTTTCTGAATCTCACTTTGCTGTGTAGTTTTTTGTTTCGTATCCTCCTCCCCCCCCAAACAAAAGAAATATAAAGATAAGCCACTAACATAGAGAGTGAATGTTGAGGCTGATGCCTTAGCAAAGGCTGGTATTGGCTAGCTGTTTAGCCTTTTGGTTATGTTTGGGTCTGTTATTTTTTTACTATGGGTTGGTGTGTATAGGGAGTCTATATGATTGTTCCCTAAGTATTATGTAATTTATGTGTTTTAATGAATTAGAAGGCACTCTTTTCCTCCTTCAGCTGATTAAGGAGCATTTTATGATCCATTAATCATGAAGGGGTTTTTTAACGAGGCCTGTCATTCCTATCAAAAAAAAAAAAAAACATAGAGAGTGAATTCATATCTAGGTTAATTGCAACATTACGTTCAGATATGACATTTGTTTTGAGAATGGCTTGTTCTCATATTTAGTAATCAACTCTTATGTTGCTTCATAACTTGATTGTTGTACTATTGACAGGTCTTCTGGGCAGAAAAGTAAGAGCTCAGGTGGCTCACGTCAGAAAAAGAGTCCAGTAAAGACGTGAGTAAATCGCTAATAGGATAAAAAGATATTTGTCTTCAATTGGTTGGTGAACCTAATTGATATTTTATTCGCAGAACGAAGGGGAAAAGGACACCAAAGAAAAACTTGAAGCACACTCAAAAGAACATGTTGAAAGACGATGAAGAGAACACTGGTGTGTCAGAATCCAAGTCCACTGCTGCAGACGAAAATCCTAAGATGAACTCAGGTATTGTTTGTTGGGTCATTATTTCTCTTTCCTCCTCCATTTCACGTCTTTAAATGTATGTTTGTTTCCTTTTTCCTTGATGAATCTGAAGGAGCAGACACCTGTATGTTAGATGCGAACCAATTGGATAGAGAAGAATCTGGGAAGGAAGTGGCTTCAGTTTCAAAAGGGAGAAGTTCAGAAGATACAGATGGAAGCCCTAATAATGCCGAGGAGTCTGATGCTAATGGGAATCACTCTGGACATATAGATAACACTTCTGAAAATGCTCAAAAGGTAGATGAGGAAGAGAAATCACCCGATGAATTAAATGAAGACTCTAGAGAACCCTTAACTAAAGCAACTGAATCGGAAGGACCTTCCTTGACTTCAGATGTTGCGGATGCTGGGATATCTGACAATGAGCCCCTTGTAATCTACATCTAGCATTGTGTTCCGTATTTATCTTATAACTTGATTCAATTTGATCAACTTTTTTTCCTTTTCTTAAATGCAGAGCAAGTGGAAGCACAAAGTCGGAAAATCAGGTTCCAAGAAACTGCACTAGTGTTTTAAGTTGAACCTCAGTAGCAGTCTTCCTCTGTAGAAGTGGGAAACAAAGACGGTGCTGTGTCCGTTCAAGTACTGAGCAAGAACCTAACAAGATTGCAGAAGACGATATCCATCTGACTTACGCAAACACAGTAATAAATGTCCAACTAGTCGCCCTAGCCCTAGACTAGAACTTTGTAGAGAATGTACTGTAAAATTAACTGTAGGCATATTCCCTGTAGTGCATGGATGGTGTAGATGATAGAGGATTCGTTGCATCAAATTGATAGGGCACTCTGTATAGTTGGTTGTATTTTGGGGATTGTTTCACTAGTTTATCTGACTTGTCAAATTGATTATTGTTTCACCATCTTCTGCCCAGCCAGCGGCTGGCAATGTGAACACGAACAGTTTGATGTATTGTGTGAATCGAAATTTCGTCAATTCAAGTATTTGTGTGAATGCACGGTCGTGAACGTGTGCAATAGTTTTCCCTTTTCTTCACGGATAAAGGAAAACTTTACTAATTCATCTACGAGCATAAGGTTATGAACCATAAAAAGTTACGGTAATTGTATAAAGATGATTTTATAATAATTAAAACGTTTGGTGACTATTTATCCGAGAATAGTTTGATTAGTAGGTAGAGAAGCAGTGTATTATAAGCGAAGGGACCGGGAAAAGAGCAATATCAGAGTCAAAATGGAAGACCACACAGGAGCAGATAGGTTTAGATCCAACAAACCGAGTAAGGCGTGAAGCCAAATACCAGACTAGTCTGACCATCGACCGCTAAATTTATGTCTAATAATAATACACATAGTATGGATACAATCTGATTAACTGTAATTAAAAAACAACCCTTGTCAAAAATAAATTATACAATCCATCATTTTTCACGTTTAGGGTCATGACCCGATCTAATCTGATCAGGTAGGGGAAATTTTTTAATCTGACCTGGGAAAAATATAATTTTATCTCATAAGAATAATTATTATAATACTCATTTATATATTATTATTTTTATTTAAATTACTGTTTTTATTAAATAAAAATAATATTTTTTATTATTTTAGGTCATGTCGGATAAGGTTCAAATTTTATCTCAAAAAATCAGATTGGATTTGGATCGGGTGAACGGGTATATTTTTTATTATCGGATTGGGTTAGCTGAAACAAAAGAATTTCATGTCGTAATCGTATTTGTATGAGCGTGGGTGTTTAATTTAATTTCCCTTGCTTTTTCTTTTCAATTCCAAGGTGGTCTAAACGTTGTTCTACGCCTTTTCTAATCGGTGATTTTCGTTAGGCTACTACTCACTAGAGAGATTCCCCTGCCTTCTTTTCTGACAGCGATCCAGCAGCAGCTTCATCTCCCTTTGGATACCACTTCAAAGATAACCAAAGGTAAAGGTGACCTCTCTTTCTTTATCTTTGGATCTGTTTCGCTACAGCCTCATCTTTGATGGTGTTCTTTTCTTTTTCCATTGCTCCCTCTCTTCATCCTTTTCTATGCTTATCTCTTTGCTTTCCCTGCAAATTATGGATTCCTTATTTCGGCTTAATTTATCATTTTTCTAATCGGTTTCTTTCTGGGTTGGAATTTGGGTTCTTTTCAGAAGTTTCTGCTGTTATAGAACTGAAACAAATGGGTGAGGTTTTGGGGCTGCTAAAAGTGGTGGTTGTGCAAGGTAAAAGGTTGGTTATCCGGGATTTCAAGAGCAGTGATCCTTATGTTGTAGTCAAGCTCGGTGATCAGGTTTGTTTAGCCTACTTTCATTTGTTTTTTGTTTTTTTACCGTACTTGTCAATATCTTATGCTCCCCTTGTTTCGATACAGTGTTTTGCTGATGTTGCGTCCTATAAAAATCGATGATACTCTACCATTCAAACAATTTGCATAACTCATGTTTTGCATTGGCAATTCTACAGTCCTGCACCAGAAGCTACTGTTTTTATCTTGCTGTGTATTTTGAATCAATGTTAAAAGAAAACATAGAGAGGAAAGAAGACCACGTGATTTGCTCTTTTCTTTCAATGTTTTTTTAATCAGCCGTACAGATTGTTGGATTTTCTAGTTTTTCTTGCTTAATGAGCCGAGCTTTTAGTGCCGCCAGTTTGTTGTAACACAGGCTTAGCAATTTTTTGCTGGCAGCATTTTTATTCCCTGGCTACCTTTTCTCTCCTTTGATTTTGATTGCTTACACAAGTTCCTCGTTTTGCATTCTCACAACTCTAGGTGGCAAAAACTAAGGTTATCAACAGTTGCCTCAATCCAGTATGGAATGAAGAGCTTACTTTCTCCCTCAGCGAGCCTGTTGGAGTTCTAAATTTGGTAATTTTTTTATATATGTACTTGAAAAGTATTCTGTTCCACATGTTTGATTTCTTATCTTATCAATTATCATTCCTTATCATATAGCACTTCTGTTCTTTGGTATAGGGACCATTTTTCTTTGTTCTGACCTTTACCAGGTGTTTAGTATATCTGATCCATAGTTATCCTTTTCAAGCTGGTTTGATTGGAATCAATATATTTGCATACAATGTATTTACTTTTCCTTTTGTCTTGAATCATTTGGTTTTAGTTCACCTTTTGCCTCTTGGTTTATGATTGCCTACACTTAAAATTCACTCATTTTGCATGCGTTTGTTGGAGTGTTATCTGTATTCACTGAATGTTGATGAGTTGAGATGTTATTAGGCCGGGAGATATAGAATTTCAGAAATTTTTTATCTAGAGATTCCTCTAAATAGTGGGAGATATTTGATGTTTTTTATATCTTGTTGATATTCAGATGCTTTACAACATTGTATTTAATAGTTCTCATCTGACATTTCAGTTTCGATGTGAGAGAGGCGACAACATCCAGCATGCATTAAATAATAATCATTTAGGCTTCATCTTTAAAGCAGATTGAATTTTCTGCCTTAACCCATGATTTGCAGCTTATGTTATTGTTTGTCTTCTTTTCCGAATAAGGAAGTTTTATACGAGTGATGAACTACTTTGTAAGATGTTAATAAATTCATTGATATCATTAGATTTTATGAAGAGTTGACTAAAGATGCTTTTCTACGCAGGAAGTATTTGACAAAGACCGTTTCAAGGCTGATGACAAGATGGGACACGCTTATCTAAACCTTCAGCCACTTGTCTCTGCTGCTAGATTAAGCCATGCTCTCCGAGTTTCTTCTGGTGAGATGACATTGAGGAAGGTTGTACCTAACACTGATAATTGTCTCGTTAGAGAGAGTTCTATTAGTTCTGTAAACGGCGAAGTAGTTCAGAGTGTTTGGTTAAGGCTTCACACAGTCGAGTCTGGGGAGATAGAGCTAAAGGTCAGGTTAATTGAGTCATGCGATGGATCTTCAAGATAGTTGAGCTATCTGCTGATGACATAGTGTTTTTGTGAGCTCAGGCTCGGCTTTCGTACTGGTCTTTTGGGGTTGATTCTGAAGAACATAAGGTCAGTGTGGGCGTTAAATAAGGTAGATGGTTTGCATGTGTCAAGTTTCCAGTGTAGATTAGCTTAGGTAATCAGGCATAAAATAGGTGATCTGAAACTAATGTGGTGGAATGAAAACCCTGCTTATTTAATCCCTGTTTGTAATTTTCAGGATGGCAATGACGGCCAACACTTGACCTAAATATATGCATTCTGAATGTTATTGTAGTTTGTGTTCCAGCAGTTGGTTTTAATGAATTCTAGACAAGAGGGTCCAGTTGTTTTGTTTCAATGCTCAAGCTATATATGTTACAACAGTTGGTACAATATGATTTATGAATCATTTAGAGAGATATATACAACTCGAATTATTAAACCCTGTTTAAATGTGTATATATGCAATAAAATGTATAAAAAAAACTATATAAAGTGTATATTAGAGATCGTGGTTCAAATTTTATTTGGTCAATATAACCCACTTGTTAAAGAATTATTTTGAGGAAAAAAATTGATGGTTTATATAATTTCGATTACAGTGAATCCATTGTTCATTTCCATTTTCTTTTAATTTGCTATTATTATCTTATCCAGTCATATGACATATATAATATTTTAAATATAATTATTGTCTATAATATTATAGATATAAAGCATCAAAAAATAAATAATTAAATTTATGAAGTATGTTGTGTCCATAAGGAAGAAAACAATATATGGTGGTTGTATTATCAATTATCAATTTATTATGGACTAGATAATGATGGTGGCCAGTCAATGTAGATAACATAAACATGTATAATAAATACTACAAAAAAAGAGATAAAATATGTTTAAATGATACCTTTAATATAATAAAACTATGATGCTTTAAGAGAGGAATGTAAAGAAACAGAGCGATTTAGCAAGAATAATTTAAGTATAATTATGAATTATAGTTTTGAAATTATTAAAATGTTAATAGTTTCTTCATGGAGAATAAGAATCTGGCGTAAAAACTAAAGAGTAGATTACATCATAATACTATTAAACTTTAGATGTCGTATCATTTATACTATTGAATTTTTAATTTTGTCAATTATAAAATTAAATTTTGATTTTTGTTTCAATTATATTACTGGGTCATTAAATCATTAACAACCGGATTAAATCAATGTCATTTAACGGTTAAATAGTATAATTAAAACGAAAAATCAAAATTTAATATTATAATTGATTAAATTAAAAATTTAATGATAGAAACGATACAATATCTAAAGTTCAGTGATATTTGATATAGTTTAACCAAAATTAAATCCTGATTGGAACAGGGGATGCGAGAAGCGAGTTTTGTCCCAACAAGACATGTTTGCATTAAATACGTAAGCGTTTACGCTTTCCAACGTTTATGCCTTATCATCTCTCTCTCTCTCTGTATAAATATATATATATATATATATATATATATATATATATATATATATATATATATATATATATCAAAGCTATCGCCTTTTTGGTCAAAAACTCTTTCTTCATTCTAAATCCCCCTCCCCTCCCCAATTTCTTCTTATCTTGGGTATTCATTTGCTATCTGCACTCTTTTGCGATGGCTCCTACCGATTCATCAGATTTTATGATCAGACCTCGAGGTTTGCTTACAGTTTTTTTGGTTTCTACAGATCTTTCTACCATCAATTTACCATTTTACTTTACACCATTAGAGTTAAGCCAGTTCTATTTTTGTTTCCATCAAATGGGATTTTTTTTTTTGGTTTCTTCCCAAATTGTTAATTTTTCTGTGTGTATATAACCATAACTAATTGGATCATCTTCCGCACTTCACAAGATCACAACTGAGATGATAACGTTTTTACCGTGGGTTAACTATGTTTGACACAGATGTCTGTATCGTGGGCGTTGCACGTACACCGATGGGTGGTTTCCTTGGCTCACTTTCCTCGTTCTCTGCTACCCATCTTGGATCCTTAGCCATCAAGGGTAAACTCCTAAACCCCATTTTTTTCTACTCCCTGTGAATATGTTAGCTTCAAATTAATGCTTTTTTTACACAATTATGCAGCTGCTCTTCGAAGAGCAAACCTTGATCCATCACTTGTGCAGGAGGTTTTCTTTGGGAATGTTCTTAGTGCAAACTTAGGCCAGGCTCCAGCTAGGCAGGCTGCATTAGGTGCCGGTATTCCTAATTCCGTCATTTGCACCACTGTTAACAAAGTTTGTTCATCTGGGATGAAAGGTAAAATTCACTTTCTTGTTCATCTGGGATGAAAGGTATAATCCACTTTCTGCATTGAAGGATGTTGATTCTGTGATGTCATATTGTTTATTCTTTGTTATCCCAGCGGTGATGCTTGGATCACAAACTATCCAGTTAGGCATCAATGATGTTGTTGTTGCTGGTGGTATGGAAAGCATGTCAAACGCACCCAAGTATTTGGCAGACGCAAGGTGTGCATCTGTGTTTTTGTTCAGTCTTGAATTGTTTCGTGCTGTTTTTTGCACACACAAAAAAAATCAAAATTCATTGAATCAAGAGTGCACTTTGTATTGTAAATGTTGATGACATTTAATGAACTTAACAATAATTCTGTAACTAGTTTAGAGAGTATTCTGACATAAGCATTGAACTGAAATTGCAGACCCTGTACCTGTCAGGGTCATTAGCTGGATAATTAGTCACTCTTTTCAGTGTAGTCCATGTCCCTTTTATGGTCCATGTTCGGGGTTTGAGGCTCCCTTTCCCAGCAATGTCGTCTCCAAGGTTCGAACATGGGTTCTCTCCTTGCGAGTGCAACGTGCCTTGCAATTGCACCCAACACTTGCTGGTTCATTAGTCACTTTAGTTTGGAGGGTTATTTTTTTCATGAAAATTTCATTTATAGGAATAGATTGGTGCTTCATTTGACGGACATGTCAGTGAACTGATATTTACACCACAGAAGATTATTGTTTGGTTAAAAGCTGGTGTTTTTTTTTATTTGTTACTGTTGTATTAAATGATTTGCTGCTTCTTGCAGCTCTTAATAAACTGGATAATTTACTAATGTATTTGTTGATTTTTTTTTATCTGTATGCTGTTGTAAGCACTGAAAGTTCAATCTTCGATTTTATGGGCAGAAATGGATCTCGAATAGGACATGATACCATTGTGGATGGCATGCTCAAAGATGGGTTGTGGGATGTATATAATGATTTTGGAATGGGAGTATGTGGAGAGTTATGTGCTGACCAACACAACATTACGCGAGAAGAGCAGGTTTGGGTTCTTTGTGATCTATATGTTTAGCATTTCCATGTTTTTTTATCCATAGATTTTTCTCCTTCAATGGTATATAATCCACGTTGTTTCCAAATGCATTTTTTATGCTTACATTGTTTTCTTATTTCTGTCGTCTACTGTTTTACCCCTTGCATAATAGTATCTCTGGGGTAACTTTATGTCTTTCAGAGTTTTCTGCATATTAATGCTCTCCATATGTTATACTGTTCTCTTTTGCAGGATGCTTATGCTATTCGTAGCTTTGAGCGTGGAATTGCAGCTCAAAACAATGGCCTCTTGGCTTGGGAAATAGTTCCGGTGTGGTTTCTAATCTCTCTGTAATTAATTGAAATTGATAGTTTATGTTATTCTGTCAACATAAATGCCCAAATTTGTAAATTCAGGTTGAAGTTTCTGGAGGAAGAGGGAAACCGTCCACAGTTATAGATAAGGATGAGGGTTTAAGAATGGTATAAAGAAAATTTCTGCTCGGGATTTTACATTTCATGAAACATATGTTCTGTGCTGTGTTTTAACATTTGATTGTCTTAACTTATTGTCTAATTACATATAAGGTTTTGGAATCCGGTTTTCATTGTTAGAATTTTTGTGACCCATATCTATATATATATTGTTTCTTTATATAAGTGAATTAGTCTCAAGCAGCTGCAGTAAAAGAATATAGGGAAAACTAGTGAAGGTGTTGGCTCGTTGCTTTTCACTTTTAACCTGGTTGGAGGTGTATGCATTACCTTTAATGGATTCTAGACTTGCCTTGTAACTGTACCCCTCCTTTTCTTCTTCCCTCTAACTGTTCCTGTCCAAATCATTACAAACTACCACAAAGAACATGATTCTGTAATAGCAGTAGCATTTTCAGGTTGTATCATATAACATCCAGCATTTTGACGGTTATCAATTATTTTGGTCACAATAATCTAAACATAACTGCTCAAATAATAACGAATGTCCATACTTAATCTAAATACAGGCTTCACTGCCGATCATCTTTCTCATCTTTATCCATTTTCTAGTTTGATGCTGCCAAATTGAGGAAGCTTAGACCAAGCTTTAAAGCCAATGGAGGAACTGTTACAGCTGGCAATGCTTCTAGCATTAGGTCTCTCCTCTCAATCTCTTCCCTTCCATATTTATTATGTTATTATACCTGCAAAGCATTAGGAATGTGACCACAGTTGCATTCTCCTCCTATATTCTTTGTAATAATCTGCTCCTTGCAAATTGGAAGAATATGCTGTGTGTTTCAGCGACATCTCTTTTTCAAAGTATTCTTTTTTTATTTATGATAATTTGGCTGTTGCATATAACTTTAACATATTGGAGATTAATGGTATTCCTTTTTAGTTATGAGCTGATCATTATGTTGGGCAGTGATGGTGCAGCAGCATTGGTGCTAGTAAGTGGGGAGAAGGCAATTGAGCTTGGTTTGCAAGTGGTTGCTAGGATCCGAGGATATGCTGATGCTGCTCAGGTATTGCAAATAATAGCTGTTGTATTTGACTTCATGCTGGCTTAGTTTTAGATAAAATGCTGAAGGAGCTCGTCTTGACAGGCACCTGAATGGTTTACGACAGCTCCAGCCCTTGCCATACCAAAAGCCATAGCAAGTGCTGGTTTGAAGTCTTCTCAAATTGATTACTACGAAATAAACGAAGCTTTTTCAGTAAGTAAATAGGCTAATACTTTTTGATAGTCTAGTAGCCTGGTATTCAAGGGATTCATTTCTTTTTTATTCCTGAAATTCAATAGTTCATGTTTTAATCTCTTTGCAGGTTGTGGCTATTGCAAATCAAAAACTTCTTCGCCTTAATCCTGTAAGTCGTCAACTATCCTCTAAATTTTAATTGAATAGCTCATTAATGAAATCTGTAATCAACTCTTTCTTTTTCCGGGGTTTGTTTTGGCTTGTTCATCATGTTTTTTAAGCTTTGATATACGCTTTATATTATTTTTCAATGTCTCAGTCCATTTTTTCTTAAATGCAGGAAAAGGTTAATGCTCATGGTGGAGCTGTATCTTTGGGACATCCATTAGGGTGCAGTGGAGCTCGTATATTAGCCACATTGTTGGGGGTAATTCATAGGATTTTATATATAGTTTTAGCAACCCTATTTTCTGTTTAATGATCTATGTTTCTTCGATTCTTCATATTTCTTGAAGTATCCATGTTTGATGCCTCTGTTTGATACATTTTTGGACATGCGTATGGGTTATGACTTTCTAAGAGCCTTCCAAATTACGCAGAAAAATAGATCATACCTGTGTCACACGTCTATATCCAACACTAACCCCTAAGTCTGAGTAACATGGCTAATGATTGTGCTTAGATAACCCAGCCCAATTTTATTTTCACATGCGCACTTGCACACATGCAGCAAGTCCTGCTCTAACTCCGGTAACAGGAACTGATAGATGTTACATTGATTCTTTTCTTTTAAAATGGATAATAAATCAAAGAAAATATACAGTTAAATTTGGCTTTTGTCTAAGAGAATTAGATATTAATGTATTGCAGGTGCTAAGACATAAGAAAGGAAGGTTTGGAGTTGGTGGAATCTGTAATGGTGGTGGCGGAGCATCCGCCCTTGTTGTTGAGCTCATGTAAGCCCTCTATAAAATATTTGGTAACTTGTACGCTCTTATATTTAATAACTTTCCAGTTGCCCTTAATTTGTGAAATCTCGCCACATATAGCTGGTTCCTATTAGAGTTCTTCAGCTAAACCAAAGAAATACCATAGCACGATTATACTATTAACTTTTTGTGTGGGTGTTAGATGCATATATGTATTTGATACAAAGGTATTCGATTTCTTCTTAGTTTTGCAATATACTTGCCAAGTGCTGGACAAGGATGCATGTTTCTAGGTTCCTTGAGAAGATCTCTTAACTATAATATGGCCTGCTATAACTTTTTATGTATAACTGTTTGCTTTGGTGGTGATGAGAAATGTTAGTGACGAAGAATCTTGTATTTTGCAGGCCGGAACTGGATGCCAAAGTGGGACGGTCATCTTTATGAAACCAATATACATGTTATTGTCAAATTTTCCGTTGATTTGTCGTTTTATTCCCTTCAAATTTGATCAGAAAATAAAAAGTTATAGAGCAGGTTTTATGGAGGCAGATAGCTGTTGATCTTTAGAGCATTCAAGGGGCAGATCATGAGACAGCAGAAAAAGGAAGAATCCATAGTGGACATAAAAAGGGTTAGTTTGTCAGTTTAAAGCATGTCACAATGTAACATAAATTGGACAACGTTCATTGACAAAAGCTTAATGTTATATGTTCTGGATGCTGTCTTCTTCATTCTCTTGAGGCAATTGTACTCTTTGCGTTATGAACCGGAACGTGAGAAAAGTGGTATTATAAATAATAAGAATATGATATAAATATTCAAATGTTTTAAAATTTGTATAATCTAAATTATTAATGTTTTAAATATGTTTATAACAAGATAAAAATAAACCAATATGATTTTGGTACATAACTTGCCAAGTTTAGATACATTGGGGGCCTAGGTATTGGACTACAGGCATTGCTAGTTTAGATGCTTAACTTGCCAAGTTTGAATACATAAAAGAAAAGGCTTCATGAAAATGTCGACACATTATCGATAACTAAGGGGTAGCCATTGGCGTCCATCAAAGAAGAAGAAAGCAGTTTGTTTTCTTTTGATGTTACTGGCGTTTGGGGCAAAGGGTGAGGATCGTGTATACGAAGCGGTGGGTAAAAGCCACTCAAGTATGGATGCCCTAAGGTCCAAGATGTCCCATTTCGTCAACGCGTCCGAGACCACCATCAAATATCTTGATATCTGCTGTGCTTCTAAGGTACAGATGACCTAATTGTGATTTGTTTAACAGGTTAAGGTAGATACCGTGCTTGTTGAGAGTGATATGGTTGCAAAAGCCATAATAGATCAAATCCCTATTCTAAACATCACAAAACTAGTTGTTGGAACCACCATCTACAACTTCAGTTCGAGGTAAACATACATACTTGAAGTCAAGTAGAGGCTGTGAGATAGCTCATCACTTACTCAAAGATGAGATTGCCAATATGCTTGGATCGTTATTGTCGTAACCCTTGGACTCGCATGTATGCCGTCTTGGACGCTGTCCCCCATTCAATTGACTACTCCGCCAACAGCCTAACACCGTCACTGTGTTTCTCATAAATGTGTTTCCGGAGATTCATTACATCCTTCTCCGTGTAAGAAATAGAAAGAGACCAGCAGTGTGTTTTCCTTCAATAATTTTTCTTGTTAGCCGTTAACAGCTAAGAGTTCGATGAAAGTAGGAAAGCTGCTTAAGAGCCAAGTATCAGCAGCACAGGTGGAGTCCTACATAGCGCAAGAAAGGGGGGACGAGAAGACAACTTCAGAAATATTTTCATATCTGCATTGCATTTAATTATCACATATGAACTTGGCTAATGTTATCTGCTGCACAATATTTTTCCAAAACCGATGATTTTGAACATGCTACAATTTCTCTATGTTTGCCATTGCTATTTATTATTTTCCTCGACACAAGTTGTCAAGCATAGTGAGGCAGAGGGGTCCATGAAATAATTACGAAATGCAGATTAAAATTTGTTAAAACAGGAAGCAACTACGAACATACATCTTTTTCCATATAATGTATCCATCAACATGAAAACTTCATCCTCATCTTACCAGCAACCATTGGGGTGTTCGTGTTCATAATAATTCTTCCCGCTAAAGAGAAACAGACTGGGTTTGCAATTAATGGCAACAAGTGCTAAAAGAAATCAAACTCCAGATAATTGTCTGAACCTTTTTTATTATAAGCAGCTGCATTGACAGCAGCCTTTTCACTTGATGCCGGAGAAGCTGGTACTCGTTCAAGCTCGACTGGCTTTGGAATCTCAGGTGGGGTAGCACAACGAATCAATGCCCAATTCACACCTTCAAAGAAGGGATGTTGTTTAATCTCGGTTGCCCCTCGTTTATAAGCCAATCTATGTTGTGGTTCTTTTATAAGTAGTCCTCTTATGAGGTCCCTTGCTGCAAAACTCACAACGGGTGATTCAGGAAACCGAAGAGGCTGTCCCACAACATTGAATAACGTTGCCCGATTGCCAGATCCCTTAAAAGGGGTTTTACCAAACAAAAGTTCGTAAAGGAAGATTCCAAAAGTCCACCAGTCTACAGCACTTCCATGTCCCTCACCCTTGATGATCTCTGGAGCCAAGTACTCATGAGTCCCCACAAATGACATTGAGCGGGCATCAGTTGGCTCTGCTATTAGCTCAGGTAATGGGCTAATTTGGTTTGTAATTTCGTATTTTTGCTTGTGGTCTTTCTTGGACTTGATAGAAAAGAGACGGGGAGAAAAGCAAGTTGTCGAAGCAACGCAAGACGGCTGAATGCAGGAAGGTTCAATGCACGCAGGCTGAACACAGTAAACTGGGTTCTTTCTTAATGGCTCTGATTCGAGAGAAGATGTCCTGACAAGAGTTGGGCTGACAGCACAACGAAGGGAAAGATCAAAATCAGAGAGCATTATATGACCATCTTCCCTCACAAGAACATTTTCTGGCTTAAGGTCGCGATAGATGATCCCAAGCATATGAAGATATTCCAGTGCTAGCAAGACCTCTGCTACATAAAATCTACAATGCAGAACAAAATACAACATCACTGTAAAGGTGATAGAAATTTGCACAAATTTTAATCACACCCTGTTTGTGTTTCTACTGAAAAATGCAAATAGCTAAACGGAAATAAAATGAAAATTTTCCTTACTGAGCTTCCACAAAGTCTATCCTTTTAAAGGGATTCATATTCGGTCCAATATCAGCATACAAGTTTTTTAAGGCAAGGCGTCAAAGGTTTTTAAACTTTCTTGCATGAATCAAAATTTCAAACAAATTATTGCACTATCCTTTCAAACAATTAGCTACCCTTTGCACCATGGTAGATGGTACAATCCCATAACAGAAAAAATGACCTTGAATAGACAACTGTGGGCAATATGTTTCAACATTTCTCTATATTTCACTTAGGGAGATGCTAGCAAATATAGAAATTACAAGTGACAAGCACCCGAAAGCCCTTCAAGCAATCAGAAAACTTAGGATTGAAAGCAAACTCATCATAGATAGTTGAAAAGTAAGCGAACAAGAAAAGGCATGTACATGATAGTAAAGAACATGAAATATCTTTTCAGATTTGATTGTCATACTTTACTGCCTGCTCAGGGAAATATTTCCCGGCTTGCTTCTGCCTGAGGGCGTGCAAGTCTCCACCAGGGCAAAACTCCATTACCAAACAGGAAAACTTCTCCGTCTCAAAATGTGTGTAAAGTGTCGGAAGGAATGGATGATCAAGAGATTGCAGTATCTCTCTTTCTGTTTGAGCCCGAAGCAGTTTTTTACGACTTGCTAAAGATGCTTTGTCCATAACCTTCATTGCAAAATAACACTTGGTTCCACTCAAATCCGACAGATAGACACTCCCGATGTCCCCGCAACCCAACCTCCTTAGCAGTCTAAAATGGCTCAAACCAAGAATCCCATCTCTTGTCTTGACAGCTTGGATAGCTTCCCACCTCAAGTCATTCGCTTTGTGAGGCTTACTGATACTACTACTAAAGCTGCAGCATGTGCTTTCATCACTCACATCACTGCTTGTGCTACCTCTGCAAATGCTGCTCTTGCCACTCTCAAGACGGTCACTAATCTTGGCAAGACTACTAGTCCCATCGCTAACTTTGGCAGATACTGAGCTGTTTTTAACACTTCCATATTCTGATGTTTTCTTTTCTTGATTAGCAGAGATTTCGGATAAATCTCTAGTCTCATAAACGGAAGAATCTACTCTCTTTGATGTTTTTTTACCACATGATGTAAATGAGCACGACTCCAACTTCTTGGTTAAAGATTCAACAGAACCATTTTGATATAAATTCGGTGACATTTTATTTTCGGACGCATCAGCCACAACTTGTTTTGGTGTAGTCTCGACTGATTGAAGAAGGCACTCCGACATAGCCAGCTCAGATTTGTTCTTCTTCTGTTGCTGTTTAGGAGGAATTTTGGAACCATATTTTGAGGCCATTAGGGGAGACGAAGAATTTCAAATACTCTCATCAAATCTCACATAACCATAGTTCAAAACCATTACAAACAGCACCACATCTGCATTTGAAGTTCAACATAGCTGCCCCCTCTAACTCCACCAACAGCTAACCTAGAAAAAGTAAATATATATATGATTCAATTAGGTAAGATAGTATAGCTAGCTGATCCACAATGCGAGAAGAATCCTAGAAGCATTTTAAATACAAATGATACTAATGTGCCCAAAATAAAAGCAAAGAAACAAATCTATCACCCGAGGAGCAGAAATGATCTAAGCAAAGCTGGAGAAAATTCATTTGAGCCAAACAGTGAATATAGTGTCAGTCTGTCAGATTAAAAGGCACCGCCGACCACCACATGAGAAGAAAATATGTTAGTAGCCCACTCAAAGAGAGAAAATTAGCCATCACAGATAAAACATAATCAATCATAGAGCAACATGCAAGGAACAGAGGCTGCTCGATTAAATGAAACCTAGCATAAAAAAAGAGCAGATGACTGTAAAAAAATACCCAAAACAGTGAAAATTTGAACTGAAATCAGATCTCCATCACAGATACAAGAAAAGGTACGAATTTTAAATGAAAACCCAAGGCAGATCCCAAGCAGAAAAGAAAAAACCCAATCACTGAAAACCGAAAGAATAGGAGAGAAAGTAATAGCATTTAAGCAAATAGAAGCAAAAACGCCATCTAAGCTAAAAAGGCAAGAGAGGAGAGAGAGTACCAATGAAATCAAATTATGAGAGACGACGAGGGACGAGTGATTTGGTTGAAGGAGAAGGCAAATAAGACTTTAGAAGAGGAAATGTAGCTGCTTTGCTAGCTACCTAAACAGTTATTGCCGCACCCACCACCACCACCCAGATTTGGTATTTTATATTTGGCTTAAATACACCATTCCTCCTAAATTATACACCGAGTTCCTAAAATATTTTTTTAGATATTTTGTCGCAAAATTTTGATCGTTAACTCGTTTTAAATAATTAACTCTCTTAAAAAATATAATAAAAATTTACCTATTTAGTCATTTAATTATTCTAACAATTCTATTTTAATAATTCAATTATTTAAATTTTTAAAATTATCATTATCATTAAATTTAAATTTTTATTTCATTTTGACCATTTAATTATTTTTATCTTTATTTGTATATATATTATAAACCCTTACCCAATTTTTTAAAAGCAGTTCAATTCTTTCCCGACATATCAATAAAATATTTTTATATGACGAAAGAAAGGCATGAAAATATAAAAATATCAAAAATTGAAAAATATGTTTACCGACCCAAACTCCAAAATATACTGAAGTTTAGGTTTGTCAGACACGAGTTGCCTATAATAATCGTTAACTATTTTAATGACTAAAATAAAACAATTTAATTATTTAGTGAGTAATGTGGTAATTTATAATTGTTTTACCAAAAAAATTACTAATAAGATTTTTTTTCCTAATCTAGTACCTTTTATAGATTATTCCCTTGAATGATACTCATTCATTGATTAGATATATGTGACAAATCTAATCAGTGTGAAGATTATTTATTTATTTGAGATTTTATGTTAAATTTCTTTTATGTTTTATAATTTATGATTTTTATTGGTTAAAATTATTTTAAAATATGTATTTTAATTGATAATTTTATCAAACTTAAGTCACTAGAATTCAAATACAAATTAAATTATCTGTAGGGACTACACCCACACCAGTTTGATCGAATTGCTCAAATCTTTTATAAAAATTCAGACTCTGTTGCGACTACCTCCACTAATAGTACTGATTCGAAGGAGATGCATGAACATTCAAAAGCTGATGCTTTTGACGACAAGTCTGATGCTCAATCATCCTCTGCTTTATTTGAGGAAATAATGAAAACAATGGAATCTAGAGATAAGGGAAGTGAAATGCCTAGCAATTTACCTGGAGGAGTCCTTGTGGATGAATCATATGTGATCTCACCAGTAGAGCTAAACTCTCGACTTTTTTCACCTGATTCCAGTTTCCCTACGTCATTAGTAGCGCGGGGATCAACAGATCTATAGTTCGGGCCTTGGAAATTTGACAATGGTGATCCCAACTTGAAAAGAGTTTATACTTACATCAAGGCACCAACCAAATTTATTAAGGCTACAAAAGCCACTGAGGAGTAAATGTATCTAAGAGTTGATGGGAAGTCTTTTGCTGTTTTAGCAGTTGTGAGCACTCCTGACGTTCCATATGGGAGCACCTTCAAAACTGAATTGCTTTATTGCATTACTCCTTAACCTGAGTTTCCGTCTGGAGAACAATCTTCACATTATTGAAAATTGATTGCGCAAGTGGCACCGAAAGTTGCCACTTATCTCCACCGAATTGTGGAGTCAAAAAGGAAGCTGCAATTGTTGAAAATGTGCAAGGGTAAATTACTTAATTTAGTCCCTATATTTTAGGGTATTTATAAGATTAGTCCTTAAGCTTCAACTATAAATACCCTAACTCATTTAGCTTCAAAATCACCACAAATCATTCTAGCTTTCTCCAAATACTAGAGAATTTAGAGAGTTTTTTTTAGAGTTGTTTTCCCATTTTTATCAAGAGAAAATTGTTATTGATTTCTCCTTGTTAGATCGAGAGAAGTTGTAATTCCTATTTTCTCATAGTGAGATTCTTCTACTGTTGCCCATGGTTTTTACCCTATATTATTTAGGGGTTTTTCAAGTAAAATTTGTGTCTTTTTATCTTCATTTTTATTTTCTCAAATTATCAGTTGCGATTTTGCTCTATCCGATAGCCGTATTCCACAACAATTGGTATCAGAACCAGATTTGAGTGTATAATATATACTTATTGTCTTTGTGGTTGCAAACAAAAGGTGGATCCTCCAACGTAAGAAAGAAAGAAGTTATTACCCATTCTTTAAAGGTTCCAGAGAACTATTCACGATAGTGAAATAGTGGGAGCTATCCGTAATAGAAGCTATGACAACAAAATTTGATATTGAAAAGTTCAATGGGAGAAATTTCTCATTGTGGAAATTGAAGATGAAGGACATCCTGAGGAAAGACGGTTGTCTAGTAGCTATCAGTGAAAGGCCGGTAGATTTCACAAATGACAACAAATGGATCGAAATGGACGGGAATGCTATGGAAAACTTTCATCTAGCATTAGCAGAAGAAGATTTGTCAAGAATCGAGGAGAAGAAAACAACTAAGGAGATATGTGATCAAAAAAAAAATCCAGGAAATGCAAATTCTTGGGGTATACTGATGGAGTAAAGGGGTATCGCTTGTGGGATCCCACTGCCCGCAAAGTGATCATCAGTAGGGATGTTATCTTTGTAGAAGATAAACTACAAAGAAAAGAAGAAGATAGTAGCATTGAAAAGTTAGATACTACACAGATACATGTGGAAAAGGAGTTTGGAGAAGGAGATTCTTCTGAAGCAGAACCAACACATGATGAGCAAGAACTAGAGAGTTCTGAAGCTCCAACAACTCGTTAATCAGATCGTGTGAGAAGACGTCCCAATTGGCACTCAGATTATATTATAGAAGGAAATATTGCATGCTGCCTTTTAATAGAGGACGATGAGCCATCAACATACCAAGAGGCAATAAACAGCTCAGATGCTTCACAATGGATGATGGCGATGCAAGAAGAGATTGAAGCACTTCATAAAAATAATACATGGGACCTTGTGCCACTACCACAAGGAAGGAAGCCAATTGGTTACAAATGAGTCTTCAAAATCAAGCGAAATGGTGACGATCAAGTTAAGAGGTATCGTGCAAGACTGGTGGTCAAAGGATATGTTCAAAAAGAAGATATTGATTTCAATGAAATCTTTTCTCCTGTGGTTCGACTAACAACAGTTCGAGTAGTCTTGGCAATGTGTGCTACATTGAACTTATATCTAGAGCAGTTAGATGTTAAAGAAATCTTGAAGAAGATTGTTGAATTATGTTTCGATATAACAAATTTAAGGCAAAATGTTTTTGGACTTGAATTGAATTTATTCAAAGTTTTACAAAGGTTTCAAGAATAATTCAAAGTTCATTAAATTCGGATTTGAGCAAAAATGCTAAAGGGTGTCAAAGTGCATCCATGCACCCCTGCAGTGCATCCATGCACCCCTGCAGTGTATCCATGCACCTGCACTAGTGCATCGAGGCACCATGCAGTGCATCCATGCACTCCATTTCGAATGCACTTAGTGCATCGATGTATCCTGATGTCCATCCATGCACGAAGGTTGCAACGGCTAGTAACGACTAGTTTATTTGAATTTAATGAAGGGGTATCGATGCACCATGATAGTGCACCGATGCACCATGTTATGGGCAACCTTTTTTAGTAGAAAAATCATCCCCAAACGGCTCCAAAACATCCCCAACGGCTATATACAACATCAAACACATTCCAAGCTATAAATACAAGCTAAAGACACTTAAAGAAGAAAGAGAACAATTATCCAAGCAATCAAACACAAGAGAAGAGTTTTTCATTCTTATTTCATCTTTCTCTTGTAAATATTTTGTTCTTGTGAGATCAATCTTGTAAACACATACCTTAGAGAGGTTTTCTTGTTTACTTATTTTAGCCTTTTGTAAAGGGGAAAGGTTCTAGTTTATCCCGTGTAAAAGCTAGGAAAATGTTCTAGTTTAGCCCGGAAAAACTAGGGAGTTGTAAGGTTATCTATTTGTCCTCAAAAGAAAGAACAAATTAGTGAATTTATTGGAAAATCTTGGTGAGGAGCTAAGGTAGTGGACGTCGACTTTGGTTTAGAAAGTCGAACCACTCTAAATCGTTGTGCAATTTTCTATCTTTCAATCTCCTTACTCCATAAACTCAAAAACTGTTCCGACCCCTCTTTGCAAACCGTTCCGGTTGTCGAATCGAGCTTTTGAAAATCCCAACAATTGGTATCAGAGCCTAACTCGTTAAGAAGGTTTAACCACCTTGAGACGATCCTCAAAGAAGCTCTACCAATTCCCGACACAACCGAGAAGATGACTTCCACCTCCGGCTCGTTCTACATGGAAGACTCCCTACCAACGGACAAGCCTCCATACTTCAATGGAGTCAACTATCGTCATTGGAAGAAATTAATGAAGGTATTCATCCAATCCAATGATCTTGATGCATGGGAGATAATCGAGAACAACTACTCTTCTCCAAAGAAGAAGGAGAAGAAGCGGAGTGACAAAGAACGGAAGAAAGCTCAACTTAATGCCAAGGCCATGCACATGGTGTTGTGTGCATTTGGTCCTGAAATCTATGAAGGAGTTTCTTCATGTTCAAGTGCTAAGGAGCTTTGGAATAAGCTCAAGGAAATCCATGGAAACAAGAAAGAAGAACCAACAAAGGTGGTGTCTCTAATGGCTCGTGAAGAGCCCGAGGTATCTTCTAACTCAATTGAATTTAATTCATATACGTTTGATGAGTTACAAGATGCTTTTAATAGGTTATATTCGGAGTTTGAGACCATGAACTCTAAATATAAGAAAATGATTTCAAATTTTAAAATAGAAAATTATTTTCTTTTGAAAACAAAAATAGATTTTGAAAGCCAAAATGAAATTTTGAAAAAGGATTTAGAGCTTTCAAAAATAAAAATTGAAAGTTTTGAAAAATAAAATTTTGATTTAAAAGTTAAGCTTGAATGCTTAACAAAAGAAAAAGAAATCATTTTAAATAATTCATTTAGTTCAATAATGACAATATGCTCACATTGTCATTATCATGGTCACAAGGAACATACTTGTCCTTTGAAGAAAGGAAAACGTTTTAAAATTAGGCAAGTATGGGTTCCGAAAGGAACAAGGGGCATTGAAACTAACGTTCAAGGATCCAAAGCAATTTGGATACCAAAAGCTACTTAAATGTCTCTTGTAGGTGTGTGGGAGTAATGGTGATGAAAGTGATGATATTCAAGATGCTCTAGCCACACATGAAAAAGGAATGGGTAACCTTTAAGCTTAATGCTTTTAATTTTGGTTATTTGGTTGCTCATTTATTTTTAAGCATGCATGAGTTTTGGATTTAAATGATTATGTTTTGTTTTAATCTCATGTATGTTAAAAACAATTGGTATGATGAACATTTTAATGATTTTACATAATTCTTAGTTCATCATAATGAAATTTTGATCAAAATGGGTTTTAATGCAAATGATATTTCTCTAACAATTGATATCAATTTTTCAAAAATTTTGATTTTACAAATTTTAAATTTTTGACCTAAATTTAAATGTGTATGCATGTGATTTAAATGAAAATGATATCTCTCTAATAATTGATATCAAAATTTTCAAATGCATAACATTTTTGGAAAATTTTATGCACATGCACTTAATTTCAATAATTAATATTACATAAAGTATTTTAGACTTGGATATATTGAATTTCATGTACTACTAACATGTTTGTTATTCTTTGTTGAAATTCAATTTTGTTTAAGTGTCAAGTTCTTAAAGCTAAATTTTGTTTGGAATGAATTTATTGAGGGGGAGCTTTGATTTTTCAAATAAGTTTTAAAATGTCAAATTTATTACTTACTCTCCAAAGTTATTTTGAACTTCAAAGATTGAATTATTTTTGATATAACAAAAAGGGGGAGAAGTTTTGGTTTGAAAAATTCAATTTCTTAATGAAAAAGGGGGAGCAACGTTTTCATATATTTTCAAACAATTGGTATTTGTTACCAATTGGTATATTTTTCATTAAACATTTTATTAAGGGGGAGTTTTGCCAAAAACAATTTTTTAAATGTTTTGTTATATCAAAAAGGGGGAGATTGTTGAATTATGTTTCGATATAACAAATTTAAGGCAAAATGTTTTTGGACTTGAATTGAATTTATTCAAAGTTTTAAAAAGGTTTCAAAAATAATTGAAAGTCCATTAAATTCGGATTTGAGCAAAAATGCTAAAGGGTGTCAAAGTGCATCCATGCACCCCTGCAGTGCATCCATGCACCTGCACTAGTGCATCGATGCACCATGGAGTGCATCCATGCACTCCATTTCGAATGCACTTAGTGCATCGATACATCTTGCTGTGCATCGATGCATCCTGCTGTGCATCGATGCATCCTGCTGTGTATCCATGCACGAAGACTGCAACGACTAGTTTATTTGAATTTAATGAAGGAGTATCGAGGCACCATGATAGTGCACCGATGCACCATGTTATGGGCAGCCTTTTTGAGTAGAAAAATCATCCCCAAACGGCTCCAAAACATCCCCAACGGCTATATACAACATCAAACACATTCCAAGCTATAAATACAAGCTAAGGACACTTGAAGAAGAAAGAGAACAACTATCCAATCAATCAAACACAAGAGAAGAGTTTTTCATTCTTATTTCATCTTTCTCTTGTAAATATTTTGTTCTTGTGAGATCAATCTTGTAAACACCTACCTTAGAGAGGTTTTCTTGTTTACTTATTTTATCCTTTTGTAAAGGGGAAAGGTTCTAGCTTAGCTCGTGTAAAAGCTAGGGAAAGGTTCTAGTTTAGCCCGGAAAAACTAGGGAGTTGTAAGATTATCTCTTTGTCCTCAAAAGAAAGAACAAATTAGTGAATTTGTTGGAAAATCCTTGGTGAGGAGCTAAGGTAGTGGACGTAGACTTTGGTTTAGAAAGTCGAACCACTTTAAATTGCTGTGCAATTTTCTATCTTTCAATCTCCTTACTCCCTAAATTCAAAAACCATTCCAACCCCAATTTGCAAATCATTCCGGTTGTCGAATCGAGCTTCCTAAAATCCCAACAAAGAATTATATCTCCAGCCTGAAGCTTTTAAAGAAAAAGAAAAGAAGAACTTGGTTTGCAGGTTGAACAAATCTCTGTACGATCTAAAGCAAACGCTGAGGTGTTGGTATAAGAGATTTGATTCCTTCATTATGTGCCTTGGATACAATAGACTTAATGCATACCCTTGTGCTTATTTCAAGAGGTTTGGTGATAACGATTTTGTTATATTGTTGTTGTATGTGGATGACATGTTGGTTGCAGGACCCAACAAAGATCATATTGAAGAATTGAAGGCACAACTGGCTAGGGAATTTGAAATGAAGGACTTGGGATCAACAAACAAGATTCTAGGGATGCAAATTCACCAAGGCAAAATTAATAGGAAGATTTAGCTTTCACAAAAGAATTACTTGGAGAAGATCTTGTTACGATTCAACATGCAAGATTGTAAGCCAAATTCTACCATTTTCCTATTAACTTCAAATTATCCTCCAGTATGAGTCCTAGCAGTGAAAAAGAGAGGATGCAGATGTCTCGAGTACCGTATGCATCGGCAGTGGGAAGTTTAGTGCTCGATATGATATGCACAAGACCAGACATTGCACAAGCAGTGGGAGTGGTTAGTCGGTACATGACAAATCCAAGCAAAGAGCATTGGAATACAGTAAAGAGGATCTTGAGATACATCAGTGGGACCTCAAATGTTTCAATATGTTATGGAGGATCAAATATACTTATCAATGAGTATGTTGATTCTGACTATGCAGGGGATCTGGATAAAAGTAAATCTACAACATGATATGTGTTCAAAATTGCTGGTGTAGCTGTAAGGTTGGTTTCAAAATTGCAGTCAGTTGTGGCTACTTCCACAATAGAGGCAGAATATGTAGTAACTACACAAGCCAATAAAGAAGCAATTTGGTTGAAGATGTTATTGGAGGAGCTTGGGCACAATCAATGGTATGTCTCTCTGTTTTGTGACAGTCAAAGCACCTTGCATCTAGCAAGGAATCCAACATTTCATTCAAGGACAAAACACATACGAGTTCAGTACCATTTCATTCGTGACAAGGTGGAAGAATGAACGGTAGATATACAGAAAATTCATACCAAAGACAACATAGCAGATTTCATGACGAAGGCGATAAATGCTGATAATTTACTTGGTGTCGATCCTCTTGTGACCTGTCAGAAACGTAAGCAACATAATGGTATAAGGTAGAAAGAATGGTGTGAAGATATGATTGTTCCAATCAAATATTCAAGTGGGGGATTGTTGAAAATTGATTGCGCGAGTGGCACCGAAAGTTGCCACTTATCTCCACCGAATTGTGGAGTCAAAAAGGAAGTTGCAATTGTTGAAAATGTGCAAGGGTAAATTACTCAATTTAGTCCCTGTATTTTAGGGTATTTATAAGATTAGTCCTTAAACTTCAACTATAAATACCCTAACCCATTTAGCTTCAAAACCATCCCAAATCATTCTAGCTTTCTCTCAATACTAGAGAATTTAGAGAGTTTTTTTAGAGTTGTTTTCTCCTTTTTTATCAAGAGAGAATTGTTATTGTTTTTTCCTTGTTAGATCGAGAGAAATTGTAATTCCTATTTTCTCATAGTGAAATTATTCTACCGTTGTCCGTGGTTTTTACCCTATATTATTTATGGGTTTTTCACGTAAATTTTGTGTATTTTTTATCTTTATTTTTATTTTTTCAAATTATCAGTTGTGATTTTGCTCTATCTGATAGTCGTATTCCGCAACACACATTTGGTCATTTCTTGGCGAATGAACTTTTTACAGAGCACGATTAAGAAAAGTATGATAGAAAATGGAGCTCGACAGGGTCTAATTTGAGCATTTCACTACCTTACTAATTAAGTCCATTAAACCAGTTGAATCAACGGATATTGGGTTAAACAAAGAACAGATTTTGGGATCATTGCAAGCTGAACCCGTGTCATGTTGGAAATTGGCAGTTCAATACTTTGCTAATTTTACCACGGCTTCCACAGTTTTTATGGCCTTGTATGTAATAGTTCATATCTGGCTGAATTCACCTGGTACTATTCAAGGACTAGAGTTTGTTGGGCTTGACTTACCCGATTCAATTGGTGAATTCATTGTGTGTGGTGTTCTGATTCTTCAAGGTGAAAGGGTGATGCAGTTAATCTCACGCTTTATGCAGGCCAGAGCTCAAAAAGGTAATATTTACATCCAATTAGAACTCTGCTCCCAGCAAAAAGTGTTGCCAATTGCTATGTTTGATTTCCATTTCTTTTGTCTCTACAACTATAGGAAGTGATCATGGAGTGAAAGCACAAGGAGATGGATGGTTACTAACAGTTGCCTTGATTGAGGGAAGTAATTTAGCAGCTGTAGATTCTAGTGGGTTCTGTGGCCCATATGTGGTGTTCACATGCAATGGGAAAAGTAGAACCAGCTCAATCAAGTTCCAGAAATCTAGTCCCCAGTGGAATGGTGAATTTAGATTGTTACTTTATCTTTCTGAATTCAAGTTTGCCTGTTTGCACTAGCATATTCTTTAGTAATGATTTTTAAAGTCTCTTTAGATCAAAACTTGTCCAAGAATTATTTAAATCTTACTTGCAATCAATTGTTTATAAACTCCTCCGATCTTTGCAGAAAGATTTGAATTTGATGCAATGGAAGAGCCTCCTTCCGTACTGGATGTAGAAGTATTTGATTTTGATGGACCTTTCGATGATGCTACATCTTTGGGACAGGCGGAGGTTAATTTTTTAAAAACTAACATAGCAGATCTAACTGATCTGTGGATTCCTCTGAAAGGTAAGTTGGCTATGGCATGTCAGTCTAAACTGCACTTGAGAATTTTCTTGGACAATACAAAAGGTGGATATGTGGTTACAGAGTACTTGAGTAAGATGGAGAAAGAAGTGGGGAAGAAGGTACGATTCTTCTCTTTAGTTTCACGCCACAAATAAAATATTATTGTTATTTACTTGCAATCAAAAAATATATTTGCAGATAAATCTGAGGTCTCCTCAAACGAATTCAGCCTTTCAAAAACTCTTTGGGCTTCCACCAGAGGAATTTCTTATCAATGACTTCACCTGTCACCTGAAAAGGAAAATGCCTATTCAGGTTCTGTTTGTCGGGTTATATAATCTTTTGTAAAGCACACTTACTGTGCGATGTTTTCTCTGAGTAATTAATTTATTGCATTACCTTCAAATATGTATGTAAATAATGCATTTGTCTCTTTTTGTTAATCTGCAGTTGCATCTATGCAGGGCCGCCTGTTTCTATCAGATGCAGGGCCGCCTGTTTCTATCAGCAAGAATTATTGGGTTTCATGCCAATATATTTGGGCACAAGACAAAGTTCTTCCTTTGGGATGACATCGAGGACATTCTAGTTTCTCCTCCTACGTTGGCATCAATGGGTAGTCCAATTATCGTAATAACTCTCCGTCTAGGAAGAGGGATGGATGTGAGACATGGAGCAAGGACACTAGATGGAGAAGGCAGGCTGAAGTTCCATTTCCAGTCTTTTGTATCTTTCAATGTAGCTCATAGGTAGTTATATCAATCATTTTCGTTGGCTATCAAATGATTTAACTAGTTCCTAATGGGGATTTAAATTGCAATCATGAATTCATTTTCCATTACAATGTGTTTATTGCGATTACGATGCATCATATAGTATCGCAGTTAATTGCTGTAAATATTGATACTACAAATCGGAGAAGAGAACTCTGAAAATGCGGAAGAACCATAATGTTGCTTTGCAACTACTATCAAGGATCTATGATGAGAAAAAAAGAGGATAGGAAAATCTTTGTTGTCTAAGTTTAGAGTGAAAATGTCAAAAAAATGGGGGAAAGAATGATAAAATGTCTTTTCTTGATTTTCAAATATTTTTTGTTGACTAGGACAATCATGGCCCTGTGGAAAGCCAGGTCCTTGAGTCCAGAGCAGAAAGTGCGAATAGTTGAAGAAGAGTCTGAAACCAAATGTCTCCAAAATGAAGAGTGGATCCTTCTTAGGCGTTGAGGACGTCAGCATGTCTCAGATTTTTTCAGTTACACTTACTGTTCCCGTAAGTTCCCCCTTCTCTCTCTCTCCGAGTCTATGAACTAGTTTTTCTGTTGCATGCATCCAGTTAAGAATTTTTTTTTTAATACCCATCTTTTGTCTAAGGTACTTCCAGTTCTCTCAATATAGCTTTATCATTAGAGATTCTTCACATCTAAATGTACTACATTGATGCATGTATTTTAGATGTATTTTGTCCGTATCTGATCATGGTAATTTCTTTGTTGGTGATTCAGATTAGTTCAGTCATGGAGATATTCAGTGGTGGTGAAACAGATCGTAAAGCTATGGAGAGAGCTGGCTGTCTTAACTTTTCTTGTAGTCAATGGGATTCAGAAGGAGCTGATGTATATGAGCGGCAAATTTATTACAGATTTGATAAGCATGTGTCCCGGTTTAGAGGAGAGGTGACTAGTACTCAGCAGAAATCCCCACTTCCTGATACAAAGGGTTGGCTTATTGAAGAAGTTATGACTCTTCATGGTGTTCCACTTGGTGACTATTACAATGTACAAATGCAAGCCGGCCAAGAGCATTTTCTTAATCGCATCCTTCTTGTGATGCTTAAGCTTACCTTGGGCCTGATTTAGAAATTATTCTAAATCTCCCTCAGTATTGGTCACTTTGAGTTTTAAACTTTTACTTTTTGCAGCTTCATGTTAGATACCAAATCGAGGATTTAAAAGCAAAGGGATGTCAGGTGCGAGTGTTCGCTAAAGTTGCATGGTTGAAAAGCACAAAGAATCAGAAAAGGGTTGCCAAAAACATCCTCTCAAACCTAGAAGAACGCTTGAAGGAACTTTTTAGAATTTAGTAAAGACAGGGTTCACAGATAATCTTAGATATCGCCTTCGGGAAGTTGCTATAGGATATCTATTCATTTTTTTCTTAGTTCTTGTTAAGTTTGCCGGTTTGAGTTATATCCGGATTTGCATTATAGTGCCAATAAGGAAAAGTATCTCGATCAAGTAACCCCAAATTTTGATTGGAAGTAAATGTGACCATTGGCATCAGGCAGGTACCTTGTCTATGACTCGGTTCCGGAACCCAGCAGCGTTTGTCTGATGGTTGTAGAGACCAAATCCCCTGCCAAAGGTTTAGTTTTTTGATTTAGAGGTCTGCTGCGGTACCTTTTACCATTTCTAGACTAGATGAACATATTCTTTTTTGCCATTTTCAGGAACCCCCTCAAACTGTATTTCTGTTGTACTCTGACTGGAATTGTGAAGAACAACTGTTGTTTCTTGACAAACTGCTCTGTAATCATAATTTAACTTCAAAAGCAACATTCATATTTGATAGAACTTGTTCTCATGATCTTATGATATACTGATATTTATAGAGGTTCTTAAGAGCAACATACATCCAAGTGTTTTGAGTTCTTGCCTAGACTTTGTAGTAATTGCTAGACAACATAATCTATTTCCCAATACATGAAATCTGCATCTTCACTCTTGCGCACACACATATAATATTTTACATCCCAACTTAATTTTAAACCACATGGAATGTGTTATTTAGCATCTGCTAAAATCTCAACAGCATATAGGGATCCTGTCGAGCTTGGAGTAGGGCAATTTTGCGTTTTGCTGCTTCATCGAGAACTTATATGTTAAGGAAGGATAATGCAGCCCTATTTCCTCGTCCTCCACCCCCACTGAGATAAATCTACCAGCTCGATCCTTCTGACGAAGAAGCTGTTCTAGCTTATAATACACTAATAAACCATTACCGTTTGGGTAAATCTAACCAAAGACAACAAACAGCCAGAGAGAGCCACTAAAAGAATGAAGAAACTAAAAATAGCCTGTAGGTGCAGATGTAGAAACAGAAACTGGGCCTGTAGCCTATAGGTGTGAAAGAAGGGAGCCTTATTGGAAAATATGAATCTCTTGTGCAAATAACAGTAATTCCTAAAGGAAAGGATCCATCTTCCCCAAAAGAAGACGATGTTTCTCACAAAGGTTTGACTGATAAGCTGCAAGAAGCAGGGTTTCAAATAGCGGTCGCGTTTTCGGTTATTTCGGATTTACCGTGATTGCGGCCGTCGCGGGTAACTCGGACGGCGGCGAAACCGCTATATCGCTTCCGAAATCGCGGTCGCGGACCGTTTTTTAAAACCTTGGCAAGAAGTGTTGAACACGGTAAAAAATGCTCCAAAAGGTGGGAATTTACGGAGAATCTTTATTCCAAAAAGTGGGTTTTCTTCCTGGGACATACACTTGATTAAGTTCTCCTACAGAAAAAGATGTTGGTGCCTTGGGTAGAAGCAACCCTGCCTCATATGGTGATTGATTGAATGAAAGCTGAAATGCAGGTGTAATAGTTTCCCACTTGGTTGTTAATTTTTCTGTAGAGTGGAGTTTACTTTAGTGTTGTGTGGTTCAAGACAGAAGCCTGATGTGCACTCCAAGTGCGGTACAATGTTTGCTTTTTTGCTTATCCTTGAATTATTCTTGTGGCTTTGTTTAGTGAACACACAGGCATGGTTAAACGGGTGATAAGATTTTCCATTAGTGGTTCAATCAATTTAATTCTGTCGGAAAGCATTTGCACTCCACAGGAAAACAGAATATCTACTCAGCTGTTAGGCACGTAAGAAAACTGAAACTGTTAGAAACAAGTCGGATATCTTCAAGGAATCTTATCAGAGTTATGGTTCCATCTTGGATGACTTAACTCCCATGTGTGGTTACTTCACGTTGATCAAACCTTGCAAATGCCATTTTTTGAGGTTGGGAACTGAAATCTACATATTACACTTAATCTCATCTAATTATGATTTTAATAATAAACAATTCATTCCCCCTAGAATAAGTCATTCAAATATTATTACAAATATGCCACTCAATCGTTAAATATTAGACGAAATAGTAATATGGTCTAATATAACAGTTTTAGTCCTTGAGCCCTATATATTTTATCAATTTGATCTTAATATGAAACAATTCAATAAACTTGATTTTTTTATTTTTAAATGTTAACGAAGTCGAGAGCCATTACATCAATAAGTAACTTACTGTACATGGGTGGGCTATTTCAATCTCTGTGAAGAACACTTAATAAGTGTACAGAAGTAAAATCATAAACCGTTAGGTGATCTGTAGAAGGGGCTTTTGTTATTCTATCTGCTGTTTCATCTGCTTCACGTCATATGGGGGCGATATCCACGCACCAAGCCTTGTTGGTGATAGCAGCAATGGCTCGGACAAGATTATAAAGATTGTCGACAGGATCACAAGATAAGGGATTGAAAACCTTCGTGCTATCAATTTGGAGAGAAATTTTCTCAAAATCATGGGACCAAGCTAGTTTGAGGCCTTCATAGATACCCCATAACTCAGCTTGGAGTACTGTCGTAATTCTGAGATTTTTGTTGAAGCCTAAGATGAAGTTTCCGAGGTGATGTCGAGAGATACCTTCTGTTACACGGATATTATTATTCAAAGAAATTGCACCATATGTGTTGAGACTAATCTATCCATCTTGAGGGGTTGCCATGAATACATTCAAATCTAACCTCTTTGAACTTCATATTTTAATTTTTTATCATTTTAGTCTTTGTACTCCTCCTAAATTACTTATTCTTCTTCTGAAAATGTTGTATTAGTTTACTGTTATGTCAACAGTTTAACAATAATTTATTACTACTTTGGTTTGATGGCCTTGTTTGGTTTGATTGTATCTAAAAAGAAAACTACATTAATAAAATTTTTACATGTGAAATGTTAAATTTATTGAATTATTTCATATTAGGATCTAATTATTAAAATATATAAATTTTGAGACTAAAATTATTATATACCAAGTTATATAAAACGTGGGTTTTAATTTTAACGATGAAATGATTTATTTGTAACAATATTTTAATTAAATGACATATTTCTGACGTATTTATTATTATTATTATTATTTTGAATAGATCGTGTTTACTATTAAACTCATAATTAAATGACTTTGAATATAATTTATTTTTTCAATATATATATATATATATACTTATTGTTGACCACCTAAACAAAATTATTGATGTTTAGTACCGAAATGAAAGTTTTAGAAACAAAAAAGCTAGGTTTTAATTATTACTTTGTTAAACAATCAACAATTCAGATTAAGTTAACTTGTCTATTTATACGATTGAAAAGCATAAGCAAGACGCGTGCACCAGCAGCAGCAAGCCACACATTATATATATTTATATTTAGTAGAAAAAATTTCAGAGGGAAAGGTCATTGCCTTTATAATAGAATAGGCGAGAAAATTTGTAAACGTGAAAAAGAAAAAAAGGGACATAGAGGAGTGGCGGTGTAAAGAAGCTTGTCTGCATTTGGCCTGCGAAACAACCAACAGGCAAATCAGCCCCCAGGCCCAAGGGAACCTGAGAAGGAGAATATAGCTACGTAGTGGGATCCTTTGCCCACTTGCGTTGCATGTATTCAATCATGAAGCACCAATATATCAAGCCTCTTCCCTTTGTCCTCTTTTTCGATTCCTTTTCTAATATGTGTTTCGTCTTAATTTCTTTTTTCATCTTTTGGGATTCGATTCATAGTAAGTAATGATGTGAGGACACCTTTGATGATACATTACTATGTTGACTAATCCCAACAAACCACTTTCTTTTCCCTGTCCTAGTGGTGAGACATTTGGGGACACCCATTTTCCCTTTAGTTGGTGTTATGCGTCTCTCTACTTCAACTGAAACCCATAAGCCATAAGCATCCCCATTACAAGTTATAACATGCATGGAAGCAATTAAAACATCCCTTTCATGTCTCATCATCATATCATATTACATTTCATCTCATGTCAGACGATGTAAACTTGTTAGCTTCTGGCTTATTATCACTCCCTCTCTCTTTTCATTCATATATATATATATAGAAAGTATTGATTCTTTTTTGTTCTGCTCTGGGCTGACCATCAGCTGGGATTAATATTAGTATAATTGCAGCTTTTGGCATCTAAGTTGATAACAGCTACCTGCTGCTATACATGCTCAGCTCAACAAGCACATTATTAAGGGTATGTCTTTCTTTTTTTAATTTTCTTCATTACTTATATTTGAAAAAAAGAAAGAAATTCTGAGTGGGAAAAAGGACAAGAAGTAAAGGGTAAAAACTTTTTTAAAATCTCTGGGGTTGTATGGAGCAGATCTGTATGAGTTTTAGAAAAGACGGCAGATATTCATAGGCTTATATAGCTAACAACCTCACTAGATTGCATCATGTGTTTTATCAGAAACTTTGGAAGTCATTTGAGAAAATGCCTGCCCATGAACAAAGCATATAGTAATGGGATCTTAGTGTTCATATGGTAAAGCAGTAGGCTTAGCCTTTTTAGAAACAGTTGTGGGTCTCATTTTCCTTTTATGCTAACCACACCTCCACCTCATTTTTTTTCTCCTACTTGAATGATTGTCCAATATGGATATATATTCGATTTAAAAAGGATGATGATGTTGGATTAAGTGTCGGTCAACCAAGTTGTTGGCATATTCATTTTGTGTTGGCATTCGTGTCTCAAATCACTTGATGACAACTACGAAAGCAAGCCTCGGCCACTTATTTTATAGTATCCTTTCCAAAGTATAAAGAGAGCATAACTCATACTATACGATTAATTTTCATCATTAAGCCTCGTAATATTCTGAACTGATTAAGATCATTTCATCACGTCTACTCCGAGAACAACAGTATCACACGTCAGTCTACTAAAAGATGAGATATTTTTTGTTGATATTGGATATTATTTCATTCCATATATGATATCTTCTCGGAAAAACACGTAGGTATGTATATCTGCGCTAAAGCAGGTTGAAAGTCGAGTTGATTATCCACCAAAATTTATGTAAGTACTGAGTTATTGTTTT